GTTCGTCTCGCACTCACGTCGATGTGTGGCCAAACGCATTTAAACCTTTGGAATTACTAAAAAATGAACATCATGCGAGCATCGTGCGACCGTCGTCTCGTGCTCGTCTCGTTCACGTGAGGCCAGACCTTTAATGCTGATTATACATCGACGTGTTCGCTATAAAAAGTATGAATGCATTCGGATTTCATTAAAGACCGGCGTAAAGCCGGTGGGAACTTTTTTTTTTGTTCTGTATAGCAATATTCGCAATTAATTTCATACCCGTAATGGTAGTACACACGTAGTACGCGCCGCTATATAATTGCATGAACCTTTTGAATCGGACAATCGGAGTTCGTTCCCCCAAGTCCGTAATAACTGATTTCCTCCGCTTTTCGATGGATTTACGAGATTTTTATTTTTTATACGACTCGGCGGCGTTGTCAACCGACTTAAAGGGAAATACTCAAGTTTCCGATGAGCTCAGTGGTCCGTGGTGGTAAATCTGCATTAATTATTTAGAATTAGACGCGAGTAATTGCGCATAATATGCCGCGATGTACGATTATCGCAACGGTTCCTCATTCCTCGCTAGCAGATGGTAATTCCTCGAGATGTATCATATAATAAAGCAATTTTCGGGTGGAACCTTTTTGTACCGTTTATCCACGGATAGGTGACAATCTATAGCAGCGTTCAACTGTCGCGGAAAATAAAGTAGGATAGAACTACTCATAATGTATTTGTGATAGATTTTTGTGAAACAAAAGATACCGTTCCAAACACAATCCTAGCTAGCTTTTTTCGTGCATTGCACATATGGTCTGTTCATAGATATAAGAAAGTGACCCATTGCTTTTGAATGTCATTATCCAAGGGTGATCATTAATGCAACAAGATTATTACCTAATACCGTGATAGAAAATAATTTTATACCTACCTGTGTTTAATATTCTTTGGTTTAAGTTTATTAGTAATCATTCTTATTTCTTGTGTAATACAACGTGTGTTGAATCGTGTGCGAATTATGCAATGTATCTCAGGAGATGCTCCCGCCCAAAACACTATTCTATTACAGAGAACAACAAAGGCCAATTATTTACTTGGATGAAACCTGGTTCGACACTTATGATACCCTGGAAAAGGGTTGGGTTAACTCAACTGATAAGTGTAAAACGCGCCATCAAAAAGAGGTAATCATCATCATCACGCTGCCTATCCACTTAATGGATGTTGGCGACCACACGCTGAAATTGGTCTCTATCTCTTGCCGCGTTGACAAGTTCCCCAATTGTTTTTGGACCTGTCCATTGTCTAATGTTCCTTGCCCATGACATCTGTTTCCTTCCTATTCCTCTCTTGCCATCCATTTTACCCTCTAATATGAGTTGTAACAGCTGATACCTATCATGTCTAAAAATGTGTCCGAGGTAGGCCGTTTTCCTGCGTTTTACGGCTGTAAGTAGTTCTCTGTTCTTATGAATTCTTTTAGTACTTCGTCGTTAGTTACTCTGTCCGTCCACGGGACTCTCAGAAGACGTCGGTAGGTCCACATTTCGAAGGCTTCCACTCTGTTGATCATTTTTGCATTCACAGTCCATGTCTCCACTCCGTACAAAAGTACCGACCAAACATAGCATTTTGCATATCGGACTCGAAAAGACAAGTGCAGGTCTCGATTTCTAAGGATTTTTTCATATCTCATCAATGCCGCACGTGCCATCTCTGTTCTGCACCTAATCTCTTTTTCCGAGTTCCATCCTGCATGTAAGTATTTGAACTGTGTTACTCGTTCTATATTTCGGTTTTCTATCTGAATTGATTATCATAAATTTGGTTTTGTCGGCGTTAATGTTTATCCCGTATTCGTTGCTGCTGCCACATAACCTAGTACACATTCTCTGTAGTTCCTCAACATCATTGGCAATGAGGACAGTGTCATCCGCATATCGGATATTCGAAATTGGTATTCCGTTCACTTTCACTCCCAACTCTTGTTCTTCAAAAGCTTCGTTGAATATCGCTTCGGAGTATAAATTAAAAAGCAATGGAGACAGGACGCATCCCTGTCTAACTCCTCTCCGGATATCAATATCTTCAGTAATAATGTTTTGTATGGTAATATTAGCTGTTTGACCCCAGTACAATCTCTCGATACACCTTATGTCCTTGTCGTCGACGTCGGTTTTTCTCAAAATCTGCATGAGTTTTGAATGCTGTACACGATCGAAAGCTTTTTCATAGTCGACGAAACATAGAAATATGTCTTTATTAACATCTAGACAGTTTTGTATTAAGACTTGGAGTCCGAAAAGCGCCTCACGTGATCCCATACCTGATTTGAATCCAAACTGGCTAGGGCCGATAATTTTCTCGCATCTGTGCTGTATTCTCCTGTGTATTATTTTGAGGAAAATTTTTAAGGAGTGGTTCATCAGACTTATGAGTCTATGATCTTTGCACTTTCGGGCGTTGCTTTTCTTGGGTAGGGGTATAAAAGTTGATCTTAACCAGCTTCGGGGAAAGTGTCCTGTATTGTAGATATAATTGAATATTTTGAGCAAGACGTCGATATTGTCGTCCTCTATCAGTTTCAAAACCTCCCCTGGTATACCATCTGGTCCTGTAGCCTTATGATCTTTTGCTTTCATAATCACTTTCTTTATTTCTTCCCTCAATATAGGTGGCCCTGATAATGATTCGCTTAACTGGTTGTCTTTTAGGCCTTCACGAGAATCATCGGCAAATAATTCTGTGAAATATTCTTCCCACAGCTGTTTCTTTTCATTTGCTTCTATTATGAATTTGTTTGTGTCATCGGTATATATTCCTGGAGGTCGTTTTTTATACATTCCAGATGCTTCTTTCATCTTTTTGTGTTTTTCACGCGTATTGTGTATTTGTTGCAAGTATTCAATTTCCTTACACTCCCCCTCCAGCCATTTCCTTTTAGCCTTTCTAATATCGGATCTTATTAGTGAGTTTAGTCTCTTGTATTCATCAATGTTAGTGTTCTTGTGCTGTCTGCGTTTGTCCATTAGTTGTAGGATCTCGTCAGTCATCCATTTCTTTTTGCTGCGTCTTTTTTCATATCCCAGACATTCAATTGTGACGTTCTTTATGGTAGAGGTAAAAGAATAACTATTTTGCATGTTGGCTCTAAAGATGGTTGGATGCCAAATGGATTTTTTTTGTCTACGAGAAATATTAAAGATTCTTCTCTGGATTACCATGGAGACATCATCCTAATAGCGTCATTGTAATGGACAATGCAAGTTATCACAGTAGGCAGTTGACTAAAACCCCTTCCTCATGTGACACAAAAGCAACAATCCAAAACTACATGTATAATAATGACATTTATTTTCACGAAGATTATACCAAAAAGCAGTTAACTGAGGTTCTACAAAGCTTGAACCTACAAAAGGAATACGTCTATAATAATTATGCAAAAAATCTAGGACATATACAGTTTTATCTGTATATTTAATCCCATTGAACATGTTTGGCACTAACTGAAATCTGACATTCGTCGAAAGAAACTTATAGAAACCGAAGTTTTTAACATCCCTCCACAAAGTTGGGCAAATTCTGTTAAACATATAGAAAAAGCAGAACAATCATATATCCATATGGCAATTAATACAGAACAAATAATAATTACAACGGGGGATGATGGCGATAGTGATACTGATATATTATGTGAATAATTTTAAATAATTTAAGTAGGTAATAAAAATATTTTGTAATTTTATTTTAGATTTAAACATAAATAAATAAATATTGTTTAGTATCTTTCCTAACAAAACCCCAAATAATTAAATTCTAAGCAAAGCACGGATCTGTTCGGACATATTTCATTCTTACAGCTTGTCCGGTTCTTTCCTTAATTCGTATCAGTTAGTCACTTTCTTATATCTATGAACAGACTTTACCATTTATATCTGTATCGTAATAAGAATGAGAAACCAGTGGCGTAGTCAGGTTTCTGCAAAAGATATAATTTTCAAAAATTGAACTGAGGTGGCTTTTACTTGATGAAAATCCATTTATCGAAAACTAAAAGTTCAGATTTTCACGAAATTATATATTTTGACATGACAATTGTTTGGACAACACTGCCTGCTACTATATATACCGAAAAACGACCATAAAACCTTAATTAATGTTGTTGTGAGAATTTAAGTTCAATAAAGGAGAGGAATTTAAATCTAATTGACCGTTAAGCAATACATTTGAATGTCTCATTTTGTTAATCTCCATGGCTTCCAATAAATTTAATTTTCTACTTTTTGCGGCTGTATGTAAAATATCAAATTTTTTTAAACCCTGTTTTATGTTCATTACTGCGTTTCTTGAAGGATCTACCTGTTTGTCCAATGTGTCCATGGTGTGTTGTTAGTTCTGAAAGATATTTTTAGGGATGTATTTTGTCTGTCTGATGCATTTGAATGTCTCATTTTGTTAATCTCGATGGCAAACGTAACAAAAAATGGTCTGCTGAGGATAATCGGTCTAGCTTCTAGAAAGTAGAATCCAGAAGTCAATGCCGAACTCAGATTTTTTCTTAAAGTGTAAATTTTGAGATTCAACGGAAAGGTAACCGTATTAATAAAAAACTATATGATTTAAGCAGTCTCATGGTCTACGACTTTAACCTGGCCATCATTCCTTCAGTGTTACACATTTCCTGAACCCGCAGAACAATACGGTTACCACACAATATCGACTAAGACCTTGAAAGTCAACCGGGGCCCCCCTGGGTACCCCCGGGCGCACTTTTTCCGCCTAATTGCGAAAAATCCGAATGCTCCTAATTACGCTCTTACAATTTAACAATACGCGAACCATCTTGCGATCGATGCGCGCCGTCAGGCAACTGTTTCGGTGCGATTTTTTTCTTTTGTGCCTCGCGCCGAAAGGAAAAGTATGAGGGAAATGTTAATTGTACGGTTTTTTGATCGACAGACTGAAGAAAAGATGGCCTGTGTATAATAAAACTCATCGAAAGGCTTCAAGCGTGGTATTAATAACAAAAGTGAAACCGGGTTCGGCTGCGGTACCCCCAAGGTGTCGTTTTAAGGTCGCCCTCCGCACCAATGGAGATAATTGCTAATTCTCCTCATTTTGGTGCTTCTGCTCCCTTTTAACCATCGTCGATAAGTTTTCCATCGTAGGAAGCTCGTTCTGTTTGATTTCCGCGATCCTGGCGATGAGCTGTTGAGGCGGCTCCACCCTCTTGCATTCCCAAAACATATTCTTCTTCTCGAAAAAACCCTTATCGATCTTTAGACGTTCGGGTATCTCTTCGGGCAAAATCGTGCCGCTCCTGGTTTTATACGAGACGTTAGGCGTCACTGGATCACGCGTCGCTGGTTTCTTCGGAATGGACATCAACCTGGAAAGGCGATTCGTGCAAAAAGGCAAACCGTGAGTTTCGGTTTCACATTTTGAAGAGAGGGTGCAACTTCCTTTCGCTCAAATCAATGAGCCGTTTCTCGACGCTCTCGAATGGAGGCATCGGATCCGTCTCGTCTTTCAACGACGGATGCTTCTCGATCTTTTCGATCAACGCGTCTTCAGGGTCGATTTCGACTTCCTGCGGCGACGTGAAGTTTTTCTGTAAGATGTACGCTGTGCCGCAAGTTTTGTAAACGCGCCCGCCCAGCTTGGCTATTTCGGTCATATCTTTTACGACCTGGTCATCTGGAACTGATGAACGCAGTGGTGATTCCACGCGTACCCTACGACATCTGAGCTACAGCAATTAACGGACCAAAACGTCAGCGATATTGACTAAAGAAATACAATATCAAAGAAGAAGAATATACTAGCTAAAAACAAGCTTTAGTATGGTGCTTATAAGATTAGAACATAAAGCCGAGATTTACGGAGATGCAAAATGAATGTTTCAACTTGAACTTCAAGTAATAACTCAAAAGCGTAGCCAAATCCGCTAAACAATATTCATAAACTGTGGGATTTTGAGCATTTATTTAAGTATATCAAGTTCCGACTTGGGGCACTCTATCCATACCTTCCAGTAAAACTAAAAAGTTGTTATAAATGGTTATTCTTACAAAACGTTTCAAGTCGCTGGCAAACAGAAGGGCAAGACTATGTTTGAAACGAGATGTAATATCATCACACCTGACGAAAGAAAAATTTGAAGGGAGGTGTTTAGGTGGAGCAACTGACCAATATCATTCTTTAGTCAGCAAGTATTTGGCAATCTTTATCATTTTTTTGAACAGAAATTTTCTACAATTGGAAAATTCTTACTACTTATGACTTTCTCACAGTCTGTGGAATCCTTTTCGGTCGTCTGTACGGTTTTTTTGTCACGGAAAATCTGCCAAAACGACTTTTTACTGGTTCGTACTAATTCCTTTGAAGGAGCCGATTTAATATAACTCGTTCGTTCGACCAAACGCTGTGAAGACTTTAACACGGCCGCCATAATAGGGCGGCGACCAAATTTAATGCTGCCGTTTTGAGAAATGACAATGACAGGCTCATTTTTGACGTTGGCGTTTCGATAGTAGGACGAAATCTCAAAAATAATATTCGCATGACCATTCTATTCACCATGGTCAATTGAATCTTTTTAATTGACTAGTCAAAAAATGTTTTAAATATCATTATTTAATAATAATAACCATAACCATCTTTAAGGAATATCCAAATATGATACTTAGCAATTCGGGGAATCCCAATAATAATATCGACCACATTTTATTTTTAAAAATATATATTATATAAAATTATACTGGTCAAATGACACAAAAAATTTGACAAAAGGAAAAGTGAAAAATAAACCTTATTTATTTGTTTGCAAATAAATACTGAGGGGTACTCAAACAGAAAATCGGCGTGACAAAGTCAATATTATGCCGGGTAGGTATTGTTTAAATAATATTCATTTACCCGTCACACATACATTTAAGTGACTAACACGATGAATCACGGCTATTCTTTTCTGCCGCCAAATGCGAGCGAGAAAGTAGATGATGCAAATTTAAATGGCAAACTTGTCACGAGTAACAATGCCTACACCGAAAAACCGGTACCAGAATCAGACACAAAAGTAGCAGCAAGGCGGAGAGGCCTAATTGGACGTGAAAATGGGGGTCGATCGATTTTGCTTAAATTCGGTTTTGCATAATAATTTATAACCCTAAGCCAACGTGTACCACAGATGCCCAATTACCGGAAAGCTCGAAATATACACAATTAATTAAGCAGGAATTTGCAAACTCGTGTGCTAATTTCAAAACAAGTAGAATACGGTATAAAATATTTGAACACATAAAAGTACCTCCCAGCAAACTACGACGCTGCTTTTTCTGGTAATTTGTATTATTAACGGAGCAACATTTTAAAATAAAACTGATACTTGTTGCGTTGCTATCGGCACGAAATTTTACACTTAATATTAAAATGAGCTATTAACACATTAATGTTAATTAAGACGTTCTCTCTAAAGAATGTTTTCATCATTATTGCACGCTAGTTTCCTTCGCTTCAATGCGATTGTCGTGGAGATCGATCGAAAAACTATTGCGGACCAACGTTTTACAGATTCTAGAGTTCTTGTTTTAGAAATACTTTACTAACATAGCGTTTATCTTTATGGGTAAAACGGATAATAAACGAGTGAATTTAAAAAGAAAAAACAACACGAATACACTCGATAACACGACCGTCAGAACTGACAAACGTCAAAATTCAAGCCGAAAACAATCGACTGCAGTTTATAATTAGGTATTTCACAGAAGAGAGTGGGAAAAAATTATTTGCGATATTTTAGACACAAGTTTAAGAACGATCGGATGCTCGGATGTTTTTTAAGTCTCTCGTTTATTAAACACTCGCTCCACCATAGTGGCATATCAAACTCGTGACTAAAATGGTGTTCATCAAATTTACTTGCTGTTTTAACTAAACAAACGCGCTGTACTAATACCACTACTTCACGCTTGCCGCGTTGCCAGCTTTTTTATTTGTCGTCTAGTTAAAAATAGGGTTAGTAGATTCAAAAATTAATGAAATTATAATTTTGGATTCGGTTAGTCAGTTGTCTTTGCTAAAATTTTGAATAAAAAGAATCGATACTATGTCACATCAAAAACAATCAAAAATCATTTGAAGATATAAATTTATCGGATTTGTATGTACTAAGTGACGCAATAACTTTTTGACAAAACTCGTCTTTTGAATCTAATTCATTCATCTTTTGTTTTTAGCAGGCCCTCTAGTTGCTTTCAATTAGGATCCTTTAAGCAGGAACGGCATGTTTATCGCAAACGAGCTTCGCAAAAATCTAATATGCGTCGCATATGGCAGGGTAAACAAAAGGTGCGAATTAAACAAACATGGGGTTGATTAGATCGGTGTTGTGTAACAAACGTGAGTCATTTCTGTGTTTAGATAATAATATCGATACTAATTAGTAAATAAGACAGGCCATGTCGTGATATAACGCGACAGCGCAAAACCTAAATAAAAGAGAATGCATGACGAGAGACAACCCAGCGATTGTATCGAACTAGAAACATAATTTTCGAAATCTGGAAAAGCTTTAGTCACGAAGACGTTCGGTTGTGGTCGTTAGCTAATAAAGCAAGCAATGAGGAACCGACTTTTGTTAACGTTACAAAATCGTCCGGAAGGAGATCTAATATCTCCGAGCCGCTAATGTAATAATTATATTATGTAAATCAACCGTCGCCACTAACCCAGTTTTATGGGACAGATCGCAGGTTTGATCAATAGCAGCGGCGTTCCTGGATATTAATTACGCAATATCTAATACTGACAACGCCGACCAATGGCATATCTTTGTCACTTCTGCTAAAAATCCTCCTTCAAAAAATTTCAAAAAATTCAAACGTTTTGAATCTATCCCCGTTGGCCTATTTTTTCTATCACGTCTAGATTTTTCAATTTTTTCATTCGTCAACGTTACAAAAAGTAAATATACATACAAAATGAGTTTCAGAGAGTTGTAAGAGAAAGGAGGGAAGTGCCAATTAAACGACAGTTCAGTGAAAACTTGTCGTTTAATTGTTTACGTTTTAAATCAAATATTTTGGTAAGTTTTGCATAAAGTTTATGTTCTCTACATTGGATTTAAGTATTTGATGTGTAGTTTGAGTATTTTTTTTTAAGTAGAGTCAATAAATATAAAATAGAAGTTTGAAAGTTGTTTTAAAATTAATTTTATGCGATTTAAGGTTACAAAATGCCACGGTAAAAATTCCTCAGATTGTTTTTGCTACATTTGTGGGAAATACGTACTAAAAACACAGCGAGATGAAAGTTGGTTGCCAAAAATATGCTGCCATGGCTGCTCAAGAACGATGAGAGGTTGGCTTGAAGAAAGTCACAAATCCGTGCCGTTTTCAATGCCGATGATTTGGAGTGGGCCTCAAAATCATGGGAATGATTGTTATTTCTGCATGACATCTACACGAGGATTCTCGAAAAAAAAATAGAGATAAGATTGTTTATCCGAACGTCCTATCTGCAAAGAGACCATTCCTCGTGATAAAGACACTCCACCTCCAGTTCCACCAGTTAATGAGGAGGCTGAAAATAAAAATATTCCAGGTCTACAATCTCAATCGAGTTCTCTTTCTGGTAGTACACCTTCATCTTCATACACTTTATCTGAGTCTTCATGTCCAGCTACAGAACCTTATTTACTTTTATTTATTGTTTTTTGATCAAATAAATATTAAATTAAAAACCTACGTGTGGAACTTATTTGCATATCAGATTCCGTGCTTAGAGCATAAAATAAGATGAATTCATGCATGAAAACAAGAAGAAGTGTTGGATTTATTCTCCGGGTGACTGATGGGTTTAATAATAAAAAAACTTTAATAATATTTTTCTACAGTCTTGCCCGTGGTGGAATATGATACGTATTTTAAATATCTCTAACGACTGGAGAGTGTAAAACAAAAATGTGTGATAGACAGACATTTTTTTAGTTATAGTGGAAACCTTCATTTCTATTGTATGTGCACTCTTTGGAAAATCTTAGAACAAATTTTGATTTATTATTTCTGCAAAGTATCTCTTTTTTGTGACATTTTGTGCATTTTGGAAAGACTTGTTGATAAATAAATAAAAAGACAATATATCGAGTGATGCAACGATTTTCAGGTTATAATTTCTGGAAAAAACGCCGGAGTCATGAAAGTTTATAAATTGACAGCTGACAACGCTTTGACAACTAAAAGCCAAAGCCGAAAATGTTTGGAGTAACTGAATGAAGTAAGACCTTCAAAAAATACTTCTTTGTAGATGCTAAAAAGCAAACAAGCAAACTACTGCAAATATTGTATTTTTTATATGTAAGAAGTATACAAAATTTTGTTTCATGTATCGGTTTGATAAAGTTTGATTATGAGATAGCTTTACCGCAGCTTTGAAGCCTGGCATAGTGGTTCTTTTTTTTTGGTATTGAAACACTATTAAGAAACGCCATGTTTTCTGTAAACTTTTCTCTTACAATGTTTCCGCAGCTATAACGACGTGCCTACGCAAAAAGTGGAACCACCGTCTAGCAAAACAAACAAACCAAATAACCCAAATGGGCAGTAGAAGGTAACCGAGTTCGTAAAAATAATTAGCCGTAAAATATGACTGGTAATGGGCAGGTACAGATAAATTATACCTAAGCGGTCTTGTGTTATTCCGACTTGAAGGTAAGTGTGCTAAGAAAAAGGCATCTTAACACCGCATTTACCGTTAGACTTTGGCGCAGCGAGCGCTGCCCGATCATTTTCAGCTGCAATTTACTCTTCAAGCGCACCCCCGAGCTTCAGGCATGCATAAATAATGCAACATTCAACTTCAACAGTTATAGAGCAAAATGAAAACTTCATTCCTTGAGCTCGGAGCCTATATTCATCAGCAACTGCTTTAACCGATATGTATCAAAAATAAAACCCAATTTTGCGGTGGGATTGATGGCCAAAAAACAAGCCAACATTCTTTCCCACCGAAAATCTGTACATCTGTGCGTCTGTAATTTATCATTTTCATGGTGTGCTTCGTACTATCAATGAATGTTTAAATTCCTTCTCGGTAAAAAAAATCTTCTTCATCTTTGTATCGTCCCCTTATTCCATTATTTTTACGATTCTTCGATCTTCTTGAGTAGGAAAAATGTTCAGCGATGTTTAAACGTGCCTTAGGCCTACTCCTACATGGGATGTTACAGTTTTGACTTTTTGTGATAATACTTAGCAGAAAGTGTAAAGGAAAATCTCATGCGCGGCATAGAAAAGATTGGTTAGAACGTAATGAATTAACGCTCATAATTAACAATTCAAAGTTTTGCAATTATCAGAAACAGGCCTTAAAATTAATGAATGAATATGTGCCATGGTTGAGAAAAATTTTAAATGATAGAATCAAGTCGATGTCCTGGCTGTTAAGAGATATATTTAATCTAATTTTATGTTTCTTTTTCCGTAAAAACGAAAATTTAAAAATAAAAGCTGACCAAACATATGAAACCAGGCAAATTCAAACCATAGATGTAGAACTATATAATTGGCTGATAATTTGCAAAATAAATCCCTAAAAATAGCTTTCAGAACATCAAAATGTACCATTTAAAAGTCTTCAAGATACCTAACAATATTGCTTTTTAATATTTTTTCGGGGGCTTGAACACGCCGATGTGTTAAAAACGCGTTGAAACCGAGATAGTACGGTACTCAACCCAAGCAGTACTAACGATCACTATTTCGAAAAAGGTAAAACCGCTGTGACTCACGCCGAATCGCTGCTATCCGTTACGTCATCGCCGTAACCGGATTTCAAATCGACCCTGTCTCGCGTTAAAATACCGCAAGAGATCGCGCAAAAAAAAAAAAAACGTAAGCCGCGAGTTTTCGTCGTCGGTTAAGTACGAGATTTACACGGCTTGCCTACTTTGTCGAGGCGACCCCAAACTTAACCCGAGATTAAATCCGACCCTGAGCGTTTGACGGATATATTTTTTGGATTTGTGATTACATTTGCAAAAATTACGTGGGCCGCGAAAACGATATTTGAATGTTAATGTGATTGTAAATTTTTAAATGAAAGTTAAATGGCAGAATGATAGAAACTATGTATATATATTAGAATATTTTAGGCAATGAAGTATAATTCCTTACTGTGAATATAAATTTTCAATACAAAATTAATCGCATCACAAACAATTGGAATTGTGATAGTTGTATATACACTGATAAACTAAAAGTGTTAAAATATATTTTGTGTTGCAGTTCCCTTCATTTTCACAATTCCTTGGCATTGCTCTGCAATTCATAGCAGAATTCCTTGATACTCCATTGAAATTCGTCGAAATTCCCCTTCATACTATACATTATAATTCCCTTGCGATTTGCACCTGAGGATATCTTGTGGAATAGAAATAGAAATCTTTTGATATTTCCATCACTTTGGAACTTATAGGGTGATCTCAAAATGGATACATTTTCCAAGTACAGCGTAGAAAAAGTAGCCATAAAAAAGTATATTGTTTTTAACAATCTTGTTGATAATTAAATAACTGACGCAGGACAAATGCAGAAGATTTGTAAATGTATATACAACTCATAAAAGATATACTAAGGCATCTAGAAATTAATTTTTTGGTTGATAGCTCTTAAATTATTAGTCTTCAAAAAACACTATCACTGAAATTCTGAAACGGTGATAGATATGCATCTGCGGTTTTCACCATTATGTAATGAATCCGATTTCGTTAATCTCTTTCCGAAAGGGAAGTTTCCATTTAAAAGTGTCCAATTTTGGTCACCCTTTGTTTCTGTTAAGTCAACTTTTTTTACAAATGGCATAGTAGATCATTATTACGAACTAAAGAATATAATTCAACAGTTAGATTGTTTGACAGGTTGATTCATTAGTGCACGGTCCTCACTTAGGAAAGATTATTTCCCATTTGTTAAATAATTAAATAAAACGAAATTATTTAGACTGTATTAAAAGGGATGCGGGTATTTTCGAAATAAGTCCGAGACTTTTTCTACTAAGCAAAAACCGCCATATAAAAAAAGCGTAAATTTTCGAAATTGCTTCCATTCGGTGCGCATCGTTAAGACTGGGAAAAAAATGAAAATTTTTAAGCGTGCCAGTTGCCATTCAGTCCAAGACGGAAATGGCTATTGTGTCGGTTTTTGCATTGTTCGCGTTAAGAAAGCTGAACTGTAAGGGTGAAGTCGTAGGTCACGATTTGACAATTTAAAAGTACGTCGCCGTGTATTGCGAAATGGACACTTCGAGTCGCAACGGCAACAAAGTAGGAAGCGAATTGTCGCCATGAAAATGCTTCGCCCGATGCTACGCAATTTCTGTTTTTTTATTCCTGCATATATTTTATCTGACAGTCTCAGCACCAAAAAAATATCTTTCAAGGTCCATTCCTCATGTAATATCGCGTATCCTTTGAACTCCTTGAATTTTGGCTGGTCAATTCTAACATTTAAAAATAATTTAAGAGGACATAATACTTATAATTATATTATATTACGAGGGAGTACCCATAAAAAACCGGAATTGAATTGGTTAGTGCAACTTATTGCGAGTTCAACGCCACCTTCGTTTTAAATTTAACTTGTTTCGTTCACTTGCAGTGCCATTTTTTTGTTATTTCGTTTTTTTCGACGGCAAGTTTAAAAGAACCACGTGCAGCTGTAAAATTTTGTTTTCTGCTCGGTAAAGGTGCTGCTGAAACTGTTTCAATGTTAAAAACAGACGATGCGATGGGAAAAACTCAAGTGTACCAGTGGTTTGTTCGCTTCAAAAATGGCGACGAGTCAACTGATGACCGACCTCGTTCCGGACGTCCATCAACTGCTCGAATCGACGAAAATATTGTGCTCACAGACCGTCGACAGACAATTGAACAATTATCAACGATTAGTGGGTTGTCTTGGAGCACGGTTCCGCGAATTTTAACCGAAGATTTGGGAATGAAAAGAGTTGCTGCCACGTTTGTTCCTCGTGTTCTGACTGACATGCAAAAAGAACATCGAGTTGAAACATGTCGTGGTTTGAATCAACAGCTTGAAACGGATCCAGACTTTCATTCAAAGATCATTACTGGTGACGAGTCATGGTGCTATGGTTACGATGCAGAAACGAAGCAACAGTCCAGCCAATGGAAGGCGTCACTGTCCCCTTCCAAAAAAATGTCGTCAGATCAAATCAAACATCAAAACGATGCTGATTTGCTTTTTCGACATCAACGGCGTAGTTCATGCAGAGTTCGTTCCACCAGGTGAGACCGTTAATCAAGCTTTTTATCTGGAAGTTTTAAGTATTCGACAAAAAAGACCCGATTTGTGGCGGACAGGGTACTGGTTCTTTCACCTGCACACACAGCCATTTCTGTTAAGCAGTTTTTGGCTAAAAATGGCATGGTTCCTCTGCCCCATGCACCTTACTCGCCTGATCTCGCTCCGTGTGACTTCTTCTTATTTCCACGTATGAAAAGGGACATGAAAGGGCAGCGATTTGACAACATTGAAGAGGTCAATGAACGAATATAAAAAATGTTTCGAACCGTGGAAGCACCGCTGGGACAAATGTTTTAGTTGTAATGGAGACTATTTTGAAGGGGATAAGGTCGTTCTGTGATTTCCAAAACAATATACAGTGTATAAAAAATGATTCCGGTTTTTTTTGGATACCCCCTCGTATATATTGTATAAAATAATTATTCCTTTCCTTGTCGCTTTTTTTCGCTTTAATCAAAATGAAATTAACGATTTGATAGTAAGTGTTATTTTGTAAAATGATGTAAAGTTAAATTACCAATATTTTTGGGAATTATAGGTAGGTATTACTGATACTCATTGCAGTGTATTGCCATTGGTACAATAAATGTATTATTATTATTATTATTATTATTATTATTATTATTTATTATTTATTACATTTCCCCTTTTGTTCAGTTTATCTTTTATCTCATCTCAGGGAGACGAATATTTGTGCCTACTCTTGTGTACAAGGTTATTATAATATAATAATTTTTAACATTAGATTCATATTATAAGGGTTGCCTCAAAAGTGTTAGAACCGCCTTAATATTTTTGGATTCTGCGGTCAAAGTTGCAATAAGGTTTATATCTGTATCTAACCTGAACTGCTTTAAGGGTAAAAGGTTTCTTAAATCCTGTTAAATACTTCTTAATTAACTATTACCTTTTACCTTATTACCTATTACCTTTTATTTTAAAATATTTATTTCAATTCAGCGTAGTTAGGGGCTCAACAATAATATGCATAATGATGATGATACCGGATAAGATTTTTATTAATTTGGATTAAAAAACACTACCACAATAATGGTCCAAATTACAACAAAAGTCAAATAATATATTTTTATAGATACTTAAGTTTTTTTATTAGATTTTATATAAAAATGATTGAATACCTATTATAGGTATATTGGCGAAATTAACAGAATAAATAAGAACTAAAAGTTCAGATTTTCACGAAATTATATATTTTCACATGACAATTGTCTCGACAACACCGTGTCTTTATCAAATCAAATCACATTTGATAAAGACACGGTGTTGTCGAAACAATTGTCATGTCATAATATTTAATTTCCTGAAAATCGGAACTTTTAGTTCTTATTTATTTTGTTAAATGGATTCAGTTCAATTTTCGACAGCATTACTTAATTAATTAATAAAATTGAAATTATTTTAAGATCATAGACCTTATTGAAACGTATACTACAATTGAAAAATACTATAGTATAGAGGCTTTTTTATAACACAAACTCACTCTCGGTTGTTTCTAGCACAATTTCAATCAAAGTTTACCTCGAGTTTTTTCGACAGCTCTTCGACAGCCGCGTCGTGCTGTTTCTTCAGCTCCTCATTCTTCTCGAGCAGAGCTTTCCCGAGCTCCGCGGCTAACAAGAGGTCGTTTTCCTTCTGCTGAAGCTGAGTCCACACGTCGTCGCTGAGCGACTGCGCGTTCTGGTCGTTTATGGCACTGCGATTTTCCATTTCAACTACGTATTCCTCCAAGGACTTTAGCATTTTGCGCGTCTCTGGCGAAATTTAAAGGACCGGTCCGCTTAGAGCTGCCAAGCGTCGTGGTTCGGGACGTGCGGGCGGCATTTCGGCCATTTTACCACCCACAAAGGCACCGAGCGACTTAAAACTATCTGGAATAAAAAACGGACGATATTAGTTAGTCTAAACCGTTTCACCTTCTAAGCAGCTGCGGGCCAATAGGAATTATCTAACTATCTAGGCCTGAATATAACGCGATCCTTGTACCAAGCGCGAGGACATAGTGGATTTACGTTATCAGTCTTTGAGTAAAACGTTTTCAGGAATGGAATGGAAAATGGACGACTGAATTAATTAGTCTAAAATCTAAAAATATTCAATACTCCTGGAGTCACAATCTAATAGTTGTTGCCTTATTAACGGTATATCAGCTCATTTCTATGTTAATGTTGTGTTTTTATTCTTCAGAATTTTCTTGGTTAATTAAGCTAAGGCAAAATTTTCATGAGGAGGTTATATCAACAGAATGATCGATGGGCTCACGTCATCTACCCCCACTACACACTTTTGTTTGTGCAACCTGTCGTTTTATTGCTCATATGAGTGATCTAAATCCTCATCGAACTTCTTTTGCTCTCGTTTAACTGCCATACTTCCTAGTTATTCAATTTTCGAGATCCTATTGTCGGCTTTTATGAACCGCGATATCCCAAGCACCAAATTGTCTTTGCCTTTAGGTATTACTTTGGCATCGATCAAATGTAGCCAAAAGTACTCTCGAAAAGAAGACCATCGCCTTGTTCTTATGTGCACAAACACTGCGTAGAAATCCAGACAGCACGTGCCAGGGCAACCTATGTCTAGAAGAGTAGGAAATACCGATTCATGTCCATGAAGCTGCGTTCTATTAGAAGGAAGATGATTAAGTTCAATTCATTGAGCCCGAGACGTCTATCCTTCCATGAATGAAGGAAGGGAAAGTGAACCAAGGGCAATAATGCACCGGATTTAGGGTAGACTACATTTATAAAACACCAGTAAGAAATATAGTCACCAAGTTACGTTATATTTTGTTGTGTAGAACCCTGAACCCCCTAAATCAAATTTACAGCATCTTGAATAGAAAAAGGCCATGGTACAATTTTAATCAAACTTTTCAAAATGCCGAATGGATTAAACATAAACAGACCAATGATAACTCCCGGGTATTGTCAAAAATTAACTTTGTTTGCATCAAAATGTAGGTAACGGTACATATTTTTCCTTATCTCATTCAGGTTTGCGTCAGATGAAACAAGCAAAGCAGCAACGATTCCTTTGAAACCGGATAATGCTAATTGGACATCAATCGCCATTTAAAAGATCACCACATGTTTTCACCGATCCGTTGGTCTTCCGCTACATTTACTTTCTTCCCCGTTTCGATTTTTTTTTTTTGGTCACTTAGCGAATAGGTTTTTGCTCGAGATAATAGCACCATTGACGTCTAATGTTTTGCGTGCTCCACTTGGAAGATTAGAAGCAATCAGCTTCGCTTTCGACGGAGATACGGCGATCGGCAATTTCCGGTATCACTTATTTAACGTTCACACTCGATTTTCACTGTGCGTTTGACATTTGAGGCCTTTTATAACTTAGGCATAAGACATACCGACCTTTTTTTGAATGGCAATTTATTACGGGCTCCTAGCAGTTAACAAACTGAGCCCGAGATTGTGTTTACATTTTCTGACTTCCATATAGGTTTCTATTTGAGTATATCAACTTGTTCAATTGTTCAATTTTTCATTCTCTTCTATTTCATCTTGTATGCTATTGGAGATTATAATATTTGTGATCATGCTAGTTTTATCCTTGACAAGGAGAAGGATAGCCCCAAAGATTAAAATAGTTCTTTTACTCTTAACTTCCGGTTTCTGATAGGTTTTTCCAATATTCAAGATTTTTTTTTAACACTGATAAAATAATTACTAAACTAACAAGATTAATTAAACAAAATGAACTAAAAATAATAATATATAGAAGATAAGAAAACTTAAACCCAGCAAAGCGAATTGCCGGATTCAACCACTTAATCAAAATGTAAAAATGAATCAATCATGGGCTTTCTAACAGAGATTTCTTTAGATTATTTTCAAAATTTTCTTAACATCGGTCGTAATATTTTCCGCTATAAAATATTTCCGTTTTAACTGGCATTAACAATTTCAGTTGAGTAACAAATTAGCGATTTAGGCGAAAAAAATATTTTCTCATGGAGACGATCTATTACTGTAATCTTGGAATCGAAAATCACGGTAATTTTGGATAACATTATTTAATCTTCGATATATTAACATCGCAAAAATTTCCACTGCGTTGCAAATAAATTGTATAACTTAATTAACTTGATGACACCTCATGAAAATATTTTATCCGGACGGTCGCCATATTGTATGAAAAATTATTCATATTTCTTCCATAACGGATGGTTTCAGTGTAGCATTCTGTAGTGGGTGTCGATATCTAAGAACTCGTACTCCTCATTTACTACATCATAATCGTAAATAATAATTAAAATTTTAGTTATTAAATATTATTTCACATGGATGGATGGATTTGTTGTGCAATGACAGGGATCGCTAATAAGCCACCACCAAAAAATCCATTTTTGCTATTTGGTGGAATGAAATAATCCTTTTCCATTGTTTCGTCCAAGGAGTTTCATTCTTTAAGTAAAACGACTGCACTATTGTTTTGATGGTAGATTTTTCAACTTCATTTAATTCAGTTTTCCTTCCTTCCTGTAATTTTCTTTATTATGTCATTGATTGTCCAAGTGTAGTCATATTCGAACACATTTCAACTAATTTTGCAACTCCGAACACAAGCCATTTTCGAGAACGAACCTTGCCAACGACTCGCAAACCAATGCACAGATAGGTCAACTACCTGGCCATTTACCTGCCACTCTTTGAACCCTTGACAATCAACATTCTACAATTTAACAATAAAAAACAGAGCAAAACTACCCTCGCTGCTCTAGTGCTGAATATGATTTGAGGCAAGTTACGGTAAGAAAAAAACTAATACCCAAGTGCATTTGACAAAATTAACAAAACTTTGGATATAAAAGTGGAAACCAATTAGTGCCGAATGACTGGACTGTCGCTCTGTAATCATTTTAAGGTCCCTAAATTAGGTTCTACGACTCCACGCTCGAAGGAAACACACTATAACTTAGGAAGTCTCGGGGCTACTCCGTAAAATGTCAGTTTCGGTTAGTTAATTTCTACTACTGTTAATTTTGCCGTTCAATGCCTGCTAGGTATAAGTACCGAAAAGGTCGCACGTCAGAAAACAATAAACAAAAGAATAAAAGTATATCTTGCTTCGCGCGAACTGATCCAAATCTAAACGGACGTATCCTTGACCCACAATCGCGGATTCTCGAGGAGATTTTTTAATTAAATTAACTCCGACGCATGGGATCGATTTATTTGCTCTTCAGAGGGTGAAGACTTCGGAAAAATACGTTTTCGTAGTCGCCATAACCTCATCGCCACCAAAACAATACAAACAAACTCGAGAGTCGCTCACCTGTCCGCGAGAATCGAGTTATCCAAACACAATAACCGAAAACGCGAAAAAAAAAAAACGAAAATTAATGAAAACCGCGCGTCTCGTTTCGGAAAATCCAAACTCGAAACCGCCGCGCCGTTTCGAAAGAAAACCGTACCACGACCCCACGGGCTTTCGGAAATAAACTAAAACAGAAAATAACGCTATTCACTTGTTTGAAAAACCGCCTACTGCCCACTTCCATGGAAACGAGCTTACCTGTGCGCAAGCGTCTTTCAGCCGGTCTCAAGGCCTACGAAGTTCCGGCCCGGCTTACGTATATAAAGTTTGAGGCTTGATATTATACAGGACCATGTGCTATTGGAAGATGTAGTGACCGTACTACGATAAAAATTGATGCACCCCAGGCGGTATTGATATTTATTATGCCATTTTTTTCTCGTTTCTCGTTTTCCAGAACATTTCACGAGATCTAGGCATATTTCGAGAGTGGCCATCGGTCACCGGCGATGTTGGTTGTTAAATGCTGCAAAACTAGATTTTAAACATCGCGCATGTGTATGTTTTCATAGTTACTACCTAAGTTTCTGTATTGTCGGTATAAGCACTGCCTCCATATTTCTACTAGGTATATATAGATCGTTGATGAAAATTGAACGGTTTGCACTTTTTTTTATTTTATTTTGGAGAACGCATTCTATAACGGTATTCAAAAATTGGTTTTCCTTGTGACATGTTAAAGCGTTAAAAAGCGGAAAACGCCTCAAGAAAACGGGGCGTGGCCTAGTGGTGACGTCATTCCTTTCATCAAATTCGGCGGCAACGTCGCGCGAGCGCGTTTAAGTGGAAAGTGACAAGTTTAGGGGTTGTGTACGAGTTCAATGTTTTCAAAATGAGTGGGAAAAAATGCCTAAAAGGTATTTTGTAGTTCCTAATTGCCCGAGTACTTGCAGAAATCTTGCAGGAAAACAAGTGTACCCTCTGTTCCAAAAGTGAGAAGAGTGCGGCGATGCTGAGGTGTCATTTTATCAAAAAAAACCAGTGCACTGTACCGAGTACTGATTAATGTACTAAATTTAGGCGTGGTAATGATGTTTTTATCTATCTACCCTTTTTTTGGGTAGCAAATTTATTTCTCTATTGGTTTTGTAAAATTATTATTATAAATTCATAAATAATAGTATATTATTTAACGAGCGTATTATGAAGGCCATAATAAACGAGGATGATTTATAAAACGAGCCGCTTGCGGCGAGTGTTATAATCATCTGAGTTTATTATGGTCCATAATACTCGAGTCAAATACTATACTTTATCTACAACCATCCACTTATATAGGGTACCTCACCGGAATTGAAATGTGTCATTTTATTGTGAAAAAAAACTATACATGGGAGAAACCTGAAAATTCGGTAGGAAGCTAATGCTGATGGCAGAGCAATTCAGCTAGAATATTCTCAAGATGGTGGCACTTCCGGTTAGGCCGGAAGTGGATGTTAACTTGCTTTATATGAAATGGAACATAATATCATACATTTTTAGATTCTACCATTCACTCAATATCAACACTGGTTACTGTTTATGTATGCTGTTTATGTTATATGTTTATGTGTTATGAGTTGTGATGTAATAAGGAATAAATTCAATGAAAGTCCTGGATTGAACATTTAATAAGTTTAATAATATTTAATTAACATTTACACTTCAGCACACAATTATTTTTAAATTGACGCTTAATAGGATCATTACGTATTACTCTGTCTATTTCATAAAATTGATTGTTATATTAGGGCAGTTATTGAAATTCATCGTAGTTGGTGTAGTACCAATACTAATGTCCGTGGTGTCTTTACTAATCGAAAAAGTGTTATGAGAAGATTCGCTCGTAATAGTAGACGTACCTGGATATTGTGAGGGGGTAGAAACAAAAGTACTGTTATTAATATTACAATTAGGGTTGATTTGACTTAATATTTTAGTGGCTGCATCGGTCTTGTTCTTCTGCGAGTCTGCAATATAGCCTTCAGCTACAGAAGCCGACTTCCAGCCTCCGTGGCGCTTCAGAGCTGTCATACTTGCCCCTGCGTCGACATACAATGTGGCTGAAGATCGTCGTAGACAGTGCCCGGTATATCTTTCTGGGTTTTTGATTTGTAAGAAACTTGCAATTTCTCTGCCCATTTTGGCAAACTTGTTAATGCCGATAACTTGTTTTGTGCATTTTCCATTTTGAAAATTCATAAAAAAAGAATCTGATGCATTTGGCAGTCTCAGATTTGCATATTTTTTAACAATATCATGGAACTTCTCAGTAATAGTAAAATTCCTAGGGATCTTGGTCTTCGTAACGGGAACTATTACTCTAGTGCAACCTTCATAAAATGTAACGTGTTGTATTTTCATTGCATGTAGTTCATTTGAGCGGCATGCACCCATCACTCCCATAATTAATGCAACCTAAAAAATTAACACCTCTTGGTAAATACCGTAGGTATGTAACGTCTTATCATTCCTTACCTTTGTAGCCAAATATTTTGTATCAGGAGCTTCATAAATAAATTTATTTATTTCCTGTCCGGTAAATGCCTTAGATTTTTTGGGTTGATAGCCTTCTGATTGTCTTTTTAATAAAGCATGTAGCTTCGCGTAGTGGTCGATCTTGACATTGTGTTTAATATAAAGTGTGCTTTTCAGCATGGAATAAAACGTCCACAAGGAGGACGACTTATACTTTTTAGCCAATTCTTTGAAATACACTAATAATGTATCTTCAGAGAAGGAGGTGGCCTTGTTTCTTGATCGCCAATCCATGAAATTGTTGTAGGCAATTTCATAATTGTTTCTTGATTTCTTGGGAAGTAAATCCAGAGACGCAGCTTCCGCTGCCGCTCGAATTTCCGGGGGTGTTAGTACTTCGTTTTCAGAATCCATTTTTATTAAATCTTATGTTTTAATTGCAAGGCGAAATTTTAAAGCTTCTCTATATGAATATTATTTACTTTACAATTATTATTTCATGAAAGAAAATGTTTGTATTCACGATGAGCGTCGCGTCGGGTAAGCTGTCGCTATGGATACCCGCTGCGCGCTGTCAGATTTAGCCTGCACGGCCTACTAATTCTTTTTAATTATTGTCATATTGGTTTGTATTTTTTGAACTGTTTTTGAATAATAGAATTGAATTGGTAACGTGTGTATGACTTTAATATGGGTAACTTTATAGTAAATTTTCATAAAAATAATAAATGAAATGTGTGAATTCTGCGCCGATTAATTGAAGCCCGGATTATTAAGAATTCCAGAATATTTTATTACACTTGTTGTTTTATGATATAATTACACTTGTTTTTTTATGATATAATTACACTTGTTGTATTATGCGTAGCATAATACTCTCACTGTCAGAAGTATTATGCGTCTATTATTAAATGGTTGTAGATAAACATTATTATTGAATGAAAAAAGGAAAAAAAAATTGATTGCCGTAAACCACAGCTGTTCGTTTGGTTTTTACAAAAAATAAAATAACAATAATACAATACAATGATAAGAATAACTTCAAGAGACCAAAAGCCTAAAATTTTAATTTCATTTTCAAGTTTAATAATAAAATGGCATCGAATTAAGTGAAAAATACCGAATTAAAATTTTTCGGTGTTGCCGCTTCCCTATTTCTAACGGCTTTCTAAATATTAATTATTTTCCATATTCCGGCCGAAGCAAACCCTAATTTAAATTTTTATTGTTGGAGTAGTATCTTTTAAAAGCTAAAATGTTACCTGGTAAAGTCTGTTGAAATATGGCCGAACAGGTCCGTACTTTGCTTAGAATTTAATTATTTGGGGTTTTGTTAGGAAAGATACTAAACAATATTTATTTATTTATGTATTTATGTTTAAATCTAAACTAAAATTACAAATTATTTTTATTACCTACTTAAATTACTATAAATTATTCACATAATATATCAGTATCACTATCGCTATCATCGCCTGTTCTAATTATTATTTGATCTATATTATATACGATTGTTCTGCTTTTTTAACAGAATTTGCCCAACTTTGTGGAGGGATGTTAAAAACTTCGGTGTCTATAAGTTTGAGGACATTGCAGTTAACACGGGGCAAAACATTGTTACGTTGTTGGTGCCAAACATGTTGAATGGGATTAAATATACAGTGGTAATGTGGAGGAAGCCTTAAAACTGTATACCCTGGATTTTTTGCATAATTATCACAGACGTATTCCTTTTGTAGCTTCAAGCTTTGTAGAACTTCAATTAATTGCTTTTTGAAAATAAATGTCGTTATTATACATGTAGTTTTGGATTGTTGCTTTTGTGTCACATGAGGAAGGGGTTTTAGTCAACTGTCTACTGTGATAACTTGCATTGTCCATTACAATCACGCTATTAGGAGGAATGTTTGGAACCAGTTTGTTTTTAAACCAACTTTCAAATAAATCAGTGGTGGTGTCTTCATGGTAATCCAGATAAGAATCTTTAATATTTCCCGTAGACAGAAAAAATCCATTTGGATAGTTATTCTTTTATCTTTTTGATGGCGCGCTTGTTTTACACTTATCAGTTGAGTCAACCCAACCCTTTTCCGGAATATCATAAGTGTCGAACCAGGTTTCATCCAAGTAAATAATTGGCCTTTGTTGTCGCCATTTCCGAATTCTAAAAGATTCCATTAAAACTTGCCTTTTGTCATTTTTTTAAAATCTAAAACCCATGTGTTGAATACACTGCCACACCGGTTTCATCTTTCTCAAGCCTCCTAATTAAGATATCTAATGTAGGCACGCTTTGTCTCTCGTATAACTGGTAAATCTTACGCCGTATTCATCTACACTCGAGGAAATGTCCTCGCTGAAATGGGATTATTCACAATTTTCCATTCGGTTGATGTTGAAATTTTCGTCAATGTGGCCGTTTCTTCTAAAGATGCTTGCTTGCTGGCACCACGTTCCGTGAGAGTCAAATAAACATTGTTTATAACTTCCTTAGTCTAAATAGAGATACACTAGACTCGCACATATTTCGATTCAACACACGCTGTATTACACACGAAATAAGAATGATTACTAATAAACTTAAACTAAGTAGTATACAAAAGCAAAGAACATTAAACACAGGTAGGTATGAAATTATTTTTCTCTTACGGACCACAATTTTGTTGCATTTTATGTTAGTGACCACCCTTGGATAATCCCATTCAGAAGCAATTGGTCACTTATATCTATGAACAGACCATACCGTCGTCAATTGTCTATCGACGGTGAGATTGATTCATTAAATTATATAACATATTCAGAAAAACGCGTCGCAAACCTAAATGTGGTGGATGTTAATCCTATTCAAAAGCAATTGGTCACTTTCTTATATCTATGAACAGACCATATCTTGGGTATGTACAGGGTGATTACAAAATTATGATCATTTTTGTCAAACGTTTATTCGCCAAAGATTTCCTGCGGTTTCTCCGGGGCGACCTCGTGGCTTTACTTGAACACCTGGTATTAGACTTTTTCTAATACTTAACTAGAACCACCACCCGACTAACCAATCGTGAGACGCCCCGTATATACGAAAGGTATTAAGCGTTCTTTTATCGCCATGCGAATTGGGCCCTAGCAACCCAACATTTAGTCGATAAACTGTATCCGGGTGCACTTGGTGAGTGGTCGAACAGAAGATGCATTCCCGAAACGCGAACGCATCCACCGAGAAGGAAATGGTCGCGATGGCCGAAGAAGAACTAGCACGATTGCAGAGACAAGTATTACGCGGATTCCAAGCCTTGAACCTCAGGTCTAACGCCTCGCTTCCAGTTTAGAATAATGGAGGACGACAGGGCAAGGTTTTCCGACGAGACCGGGAAGAAATTGGAGAAACAGCGGAAAATCATCAAACGTCTGAAAGAGGAGAAGCAAAAACTGTGCGAGGATATCAGCGTAGCGACGTGCGAAAATCAGAAACGGCGTGACGAAAAATCGACGAAGCAGATTTACAAATTGCTAATCGAATACGAGGACTTGTGTGCGGAAGTCGATGCAGAAAAGGAAGGCATCGCGGAAATGGACGTGCAAATTAAAAAGGTTTTTCAGATCAAATTAATCTGGCGGGAGCCTTGGAAATACATACTAGATCACAGGCTCCTCCACCGCGGTCTATCCAGAGAGCAGCTCATTATTAATGCCAGATCAACTACAAAATAGCCAATCAAAAATGAACTATCGAAGCTACTCAGCATCCGAGCTAACCCAGACTATCCTCGCAGGGTAGCGTTCCGTTCACTTCAGAAAAACACGAAAATTTGTTCCCATCTTCTTCTCTTCTTCATGTACCGTCTCCACTTCGGAGGTCAGATGATGTAACATTAAACCATTTTCGTAGGTTTCTAAGCCGAGATATTCCTCTTCTTCCAATAGATCTTCTTCCCACAATTTTTCCCTGGATTATGAGTTGTAAAATTTCATATTTTGGTCCTCTCATGATGTGGGCGAGATATTGCAATTTCCTTTCTTTCACTTCCTGTAGGATCTCTACACCTTTCTTCATTCTTCTCAGAACCTCCGCGTTGGTCACATGTTCCGACCATGGTATTCTCAGCACCCTACGGTATGCCCACATCTCGAAGACTTCCAGTTTCCGCTCACAAAACAGGTTGAGGGTCCAAGCTTCCACGCCATACAAAAGGACTGGGAATACATAACACTTGAGCATTCCAGTTCTTAGACCTAGGCTCAAATCGCGACTACAGAGCAGTTTCTTTATCTTCACAAAGGCTGCACGGGCTTTCTCAATGCGAAGAATAATCCACATTGCAGTCGACACTCGTACCCAGGTAATCATATCTCTCGACTCTGTCCAGCTCTTGGTTTTCCACATACAGATGTTCATGGAGCACTTGGTCTTCTTAACATTGATTGTCAGACCATATTCTCGACTAGTCTTGACGTCATTATTTAACATATTCTGCAGGTCTTGCATGTTTTCGGCGAGAAGTACTGTTCCGATGAATCCACAATATTACGTATGACCGACTTATAACTGTTTAGGCTAGACCGATAAATAATGCCAGTCAAAAATAAACGTTCCAAAACGAAATACGAGAGAGTATCGTCCTTAAAGCTAAGAGCGCTGACATATATTTCCTTAACTCCCTTAACTTCTTTTATACTCCGCAATTAGTCCTTCTCCAAGATAAATAAGAACTAAAAGTTCAGATTTTCACCAAATTTTGTATTTTGACATGACAATTGTTTCGACAGCACCGTGTCATGTTATCCAAACTTCAACACTCCGAGATGCATTTTCACTTTTAACGCCGTTCTTTCAATTACGAGTCTTTTTTTTTTATTTAATGGACCAGTTCTAAGACGTTTACGTGGTTATTCTAGTTGCAGCATATTTTGTCAGGTTTTATATGGAATGCAGTGCGTATCTGTGTATTATAAGGTCCTTAAATTTTGATTAGTTTTTTTAGTCAGTTTTATGACAGAATGATTAAAATTGTCTATTATATTACATTTCTTACACGCCTGTGGAGGCAACCATTTTTGATGATTTATTGCAAGAGCTCTGTACAGAACAAAATATATAAACTTATTGCTTATTGGTCTTTTCTTAGCTCGAAGCCGACATCAAGAAGCTGCGCCCTAAAAGCGCTGTCACTGAGAACCACTTCCAGACTCGTCTGAGCAGCGGCAAAAAGGCGGTGCAAATGTTGCAAGACCGATTGGACAATATGGTGAAGAAATTTTGCGCGATTTTGTCGGAAAACAAGGAATTGAGGGAAGAAATCGACCATCTACTCAAACAAAGGTTTACGATTATTTCTCTATTTATTAAGGGGAGGTACGAGATTTGTTGTATCCTTTTGTAGGAACCATTTTAACGAAACGTGGGAGCAGTTGTTGAAAGAAATAAACTCCGCAAAGAAGTACGTGGTCGATTTGATCGAGCAGGCGATCATAGCATTTGATCAGCGTGAAGAGTGGTGCTCGAAACTTGAAGCCCTTAAAACACGGGCCGAGATGAACCACGTTGCCCATTCCGAGGTAATATAAATTCAAAATTCAAGTTCGATAAGAAAAGTGAATGGGCAGAAAAAATGGTCAACACTAACTAAATATTAGTTAGAGCTAGTACTGGTTTAATACCGAGGCAAATTCAAATTTTGTTTGTTTAATCCTCTTTGCTCTCTGAGAGTTTTTGAAAAGGGCTTTGCCTAAGCTATCAATCGTGCTACGAATGACAAGCTTGTAGTTTCTTATCTTGCCACCAGGTGGTGTCTTCTGATAGAATCGCAAAAAAAAATCCCAAAAAAGCATTCACGTCCAACAACGCAGTAAAAACCGCATCCCAATATTTTGTCCTAACATATTTGTAAAAGTTGATTTTTTTAAAGCATTTGAACTTTCTGTGTTGTTATTATTATCTAATTTTCTCTAATTTGGTGCTTAGGATGCCAAATGATATTTAAATTTGAAATTGTTACTATCTCTTTTGAAATTATTTCTTATTACTACTTACTTTTTCATTAAAAAGCGTCTTTCCCTCACCACCTCGGTTAGTTCGTCCCGTATATAGATTATCTTCAACGCAGGAAATGAGAGAGATTCAAAGAAGACTCGACCACTATTTGACTCTGAGAGAGTTCCTCTGCGTCAAAGGCCAGAAGCGCGTGATGAAAGACCTGGAGGAGAAAGAGCGTAAGAAGAAAGAGTCGGAGATCCAAACGTTGGAGGATCAACTAGAGATGTACGAAACCACGCTGAAAGAAATCCAACAGTTCTGCAACGAAGAGGAGGTGGAAAGGATCGCCGCTTTATTCACGAAACAGGAAGAAGAAAATTTTGCACTCTTCAATTACGTCAACGAGCTGACCCACGAACTGGAGACGCTAAATATTACTCTGGATGATGTTCGGCAAAGAATTGGTAGGTGAGGCACTCGCGTTTTATATTTTTGACGTTTAGTATCTTATTTTAGACGACCAAGTTGAATTGAGTAGAGTGAGAGCTGAGCAAAGACAGTGCACTGTGGTCTCGCTGCAGAACGAACTCGAAACTGCCAAAAAACTGGTAATGTGTAACACGCACACCGACATTATCATCAGACATTCAATTATTTGAAAAAAAAAAAACATAGTTGTAGTAGTAGTTGCCATAGAAAGCACAAGCCTGCCATTTTGTAGATACTCTTTTACAAATAGGAATTCCACCACCGTCAGTTTTTCAAATACTACGCCTAGTGAGGGTTTATAAATTACACATTTTACAATAGATGGCTTTGATTTCTATTAAAGAAATCACAAATCATTGATTTAAAAAAAAACACATGAATGTTTTGACTTTTTTTTATTTTAATTGTATTTTTTTCATTTCATAGGAATATGTATTTCCCGTTTTATTTTTGTCGCAATTACAAAATATTTGAACGCCACTATAAACTATAAGCATACATTAATATTCCAACGTGCCGAGCCAATCAGAACGCGGCGGCTAGTTTTGACTATGGCGCCAAATTCAAACCGAATCGGAGGTGCATCCGCATAGCCATCTTTACTTTCTTGACAGATTGGAGAACGCATGACGCATAAGTATGATCGCTTAGATTATTTGTTGTTAATCATTGACCAAGTAAACTTTGGTTAATGTCTTAATTCTGTTTAAAGTTTATGAAATCATACAACTATTACTTATTAATTAAAAACTATGCAATAAATAAAACACTGATTAAAGTATGCAATTTTCTAAAAAATAAATCTTATATGAAAATTTTCCTCGGAATTTCGTTGTTCTGCGTCCCTCTTAAATGTCCTAAAAATATCTACAAATTTCCCAAAAGATTCTCCGTCCAAGCTGCGAGCGAAGCTATTCATTTCTTGCAAAATGACCTGTAACAAAAATCGAAAATTAAACACGTAATAATTGTAGGCTTAATTCTTTCAAACCTGTCGCCTACCTTCAAATGCAATAGTGTCTGAATGGAGATCGGGCTTCGTTTCCTGAATAAAATGGGTAACATCATATGCACTTAGTTTTTCGACCATAGTCTCCTGTTCAGCTTTAGTTAATATCTTGGTCCTTAGTTTATCAGTGTGTCCTAAATGTTTTTCGACAAACTTTACCGTCACAAATCCTAAAAAAATATAGTTAATTAATTAAGTCTGTATGAAGTAAAAAAGAAATAGTCTTGTCTGTGCATATTGGGCATAAAATATGATACATTCTTTTAGATCCAGATCCCTCTTGGTCAGAGTGTTTTGTCCGTATATGTCGGTTTTTGGTCGATGTACTTGAAAATTCTATCTCACGAAATGAGCAAGCCAAAATTAAAAATTAAATTATTACACGACATCATAACATAACCTACATTTTAAAGGCAAACGGCCTGAAATAAATATCAATAATTAATCACAAAAAATATAAGCGCCTTCTGATTGGCTCGGCACATTAATTAGGAAATTTAGATTTAAAAACAAATTTCAAAAATCAACGACTTTTCCAGCTGATAAGGAAAATTTAAAGGTAGTCTCAATTCCTTTCTCTCCCCAATATACAAGTGGACTTGATAGAGTCTTCAGGGCCGCAGGTCTTCGAAGTGTCTATCAGTCCGGATCAAAATTAAAAAATCTCTTGGGTAATCCCAAGGATAAACTAGATACCCTTGAAAAGTGGGGAATTTATGAAATATGTTGTAACGATTGTGACAAGTCATATATAGGGCAAACCAAAAGATCACTTAAAGTTAGATTCAAGGAACATTTAGCCCATTTAAAATTTGCTAGATTAGAAAAATCAAGTGTAGCCGAACATATGTTCAACAATAATCATAAGGTAGATATTAGTAATTTAAAATTAGTTAAACATGTAAATAATAGTAGAAAATTAGATGCCTACGAAAGCTTAGAAATTGTTAAGAGAGGGAATAAGTTTTGTCCAAACATTTCCCGGCAGCAGGTGACAGATTCCACTAGCTAATCAGCTTTAAACCGGGGGTATGTTCGAGAAAACTATTTATCGCATAGAAACTTTCTCATTTAGGCGGATGCAGAAGAAAATGAGGTACGAATGGCCGAAAACAGTTTGTCAAAAGTCCTCGAAGGAATTCAAGAAATATTTAACGTGGCAGAGTGCGACAGCGGTCCAATTTTGAAGCTGCTCGGTCGGTTTCTGGGCGTATTTTTCGATTCTTTGAAACTAAATTAAATATCAATCATTTTAGGTGACGAGGCGACAATCAATTTGCACAACGTGCACATTTACCTCGGCAAGATTGAGAAAAAGCTGTCGGCGGTTGTAACCGAGTTGTATTTTGCCGAAAAATCGGTAACTATCGGTAAACTGGAGATAAGGAGTCGGAAAATTATAAACGTTCGTGTTTCAGATGATGTCGCAGGCTCATATCAGAAAATTCAAGGACCCCCAAGTAATGCTGTTAAGCTAAGTAACTTTGATATTCTGAAAAGTGTAATTTTCATTCCTCCTGAATTTCAATGGTATAGTGACACCACCCATCTGTTGAACTCATTAAAAATGCAAATCCCTTACCATCGACCTGGGCTATTGTTCAAGATGTGACATTTGGTTCACGCATTTCCAAGTATGGATCGGACACGGACCACAACAATTGCAAATATATTCTATACAACTCGCAATGAAATTGTGTTTCTTAACATTTGTTCCCTCCAAAAAACTCACTTTCTCGTATGCTTTCAAAATGGCTTTTTAGAAAAATAATTTTGGAAATACAGATAGATACCTAGCCGAGCGACATTTCATTTTATCAGAAACGGTGGTCCTACTATACTATGTTTGGCACATAGAGCATATTCCAATCTTTCCAACTCGCCTCGATTACACAATAATTCAAACACAAGCACATATTAATTATAAGCCACGTAAGATGATCATATCCGATCAGACAGGGAATCGGATATCCTCGGGGAGCGATCTATTGGTTAGTCTAGCCCTTATTGGTAGAGTGCCACATATGGATAACAGATGTAAATTTATCTATGGTGTCATTGGCGTTCCTATGCATAACTATGCGTAAGTCTTTCCAAATCACAATTCAATTAAAAAATATTCTAAACAAAAAATTTTCACCCGACACAAAACGTACACCATGTGCAATAGTTCATCATATTTCTTCGATGACATAAAGATACTTCTTTTTAGAATTGGGATATTGTTATTTTTAACTCTGCTCCACCGAATTAAAGTATTTAAGGCGGTGCAATGTTGCCGCTTCTAACACTGATATATGGCAACATCGTTATCTTAAAAGAAATACCCTTTTCTAAGTTACATTTATGACATTAATTACAGAGATACAAAAATTTCGAAATAATGTGTGCGTGTGTGTGACGGATCATATTTTGAAGAAAATAATTCGAAAACTGAACTGGAACATCTAATACAATATTTTAGTTCTGTACAGAGCAGAGTAAAAAATCCAAGCACTAACTAACCAACCACCTGATATTATTAGGTACGGACTAAAGATATCACACAAAAATCTAAATAAAACATTTCTAACCAGTTTTTGTTTCTTGTTTCTTTGTACAGAATCCTTTGTAATCGTCCAAAAAAATTTTGAAATCAGTCTCCACTAGGTGGATTTCGTGTTTTCAGTGTTTAGTGAAAGTGATAATCGTCGCCAGATAGTCAAGGGTGGAAGCGGGGGGGTGTCGGTTTTTTTGGTATCGGTCAAAATTGTTTTTTGCTCGTTGTGCTAATATTGGTTATGTCTTCTTTGTACGTGTTGGTCCATGACCAAAAGCGAAGATCCTCGACGGAAGTCGACAATGGGCGAATGATCCTAGCAGTCTGCCCAACATTTTTTTGTGAAACGCAGAATTAACTTAATTGAATTGTTTCTTTGTATACCACACAGAAAGATTTTTGGAAACCATCACATATTTAAAAATATACATTTTATAATTTTTATGCAAATATGTGATATTACATCCTTTTTTTTCACATTTTGTCAATTCCGCTGTGTCATAAGAGAAAATGCCTCATCTGTTGTAAGAATATTTAAGGTAAATATGTCAAAAACGTGCCTTTATTTAGGAATCTTAATTATTTAAGTACGACATATATCATAAAAAAAACAACTTTCCGCGGCAAAACCACAAAAATTTAACCCTTCCTGTGTAACGCGTCTCTCCGCATCGATGTAAACGACAAAACCAAATTTGAACTTTCTGTGAACTTAAAAATGGCAGTAATAAACAATTTATTGAAGCGTTGTTCATAATAATATTTTTCGGAAACCCCTAAAGATATTTTATAAAAATATGCCAAAAGAATCAGGAAGGGATGACTTACTGGCCATCAAATTAAAATAAAATATGCACTCACCATGAATTACCGCTATGTACGAGTTGAATTGGACGATTATGCGATTTATTTCAGTCTGACGTCATCTACCACGAAAACCAACGTCAATTCTTTAGGACCATAGTATATAATACTTTAACCCTTTTGATTTCGTTTTTTACTTTTAATGCATTACATTTCAAGTGAAATTTGGTAGGATTGTAACTAATGTCAAATATCAAATATAAAACTGTTCTGGAAGTAATAATCTATGTTGTGGTGATACAAGAATTTTACACTTATTTTGATTACATCGAATAAAAAACGACATTGAAACAGAACATATTTATTTAAATATTTTACATTAATAAACATAGATAAGGCAAAAATATTTATACACATGAAACAGATGAAAGATACTTGCTCTTTTCGCTATACACTTCTTTTCAAAATGCAAACCGTTTTACTCTTTCAAACAGAGACCTAAAAAATAAAAATTGATTTGTAAAAAACAATAGTTAACATAATGCGCTCTCTGGCTCTGTAAACTGGCTAAAAATAAATTATTTTAAGACTGATGATTGGATGTTTACTTGTTGGCGAAGTCCACTCCCGCTTTGATATTCTTCTTCAATTCTGGAATGGCGGCTTTCAGTAAATCTTCTTCAAACGGGCTCAGCTTTCCCAGCCCCAAATTCTTTTCGATACCTGCAGAAAAACAAATTCCAATCTTTTCCAGTGCGGCATCTAGAATTATATACCATTCTTGCCCAGCAATAAAGGTGTCGAGAAGTACTCTGCTTCGGTAACGTCGGAAATTACATAGGCTGGTTCAATAACGTTTGATTCACCCTTGAGCGCCCTGAGCAGGGAGTTGGCAAAACGCGCACCCGCATAGGCCATGGAAAGGGTAGCTGACCCGGCGCCAGCTTTCGCCTTTACCACTTCCGTGCCCGCTTCTTGTATCCTAACAGTTAATGCTTTGAGCTGGTCTTCCGGGAAACTAACAGAAGGCGTGGCTCGGGAAATCAACGGAATAATAGTGACTCCCGAGTGTCCACCTATTACAGGTACATTGACATCTTTGGGGTTAAGGCCTTTGGCTTCTGCAATGAAAGTATTGGCCCTCACAATATCGAGCGTCGAGATGCCAAAGATGCGTCGCGGGTCAAGTTTTCCGGCTTTCTTGAGGACCTCACAAGCAATCGGAACAGCTGAATTAACCGGATTTGTGATAATACCAATTAAGGCGTTCGGAGCAGCTTCTGCCGCTGCCTTGGCTAAATCCCTGACAATACCGGCATTTGTGTTGAAGAGATCATCTCTGGTCATGCCTACATATTAAGATAAATTCAGGGATTGCTGCACTGTTCTACTTTGGCATTTGTCACCTACCAGGCTTTCTAGGCACACCCGCCGGAATAATGATAACATCTGCATTCCTGAGTGCTTCAACAAGGTTATCAGGACCATTGTGTCCCTTGACTTTGGCAGCTGTTTCAATGTGAGACAAGTCTGCAGCTACCCCAGGGGTGTGTACAATATCATACAGCGACAATTCAGACACCAAAGGGTTTATTTTTAGAAGAAGAGATAGCGGCTGTCCAATACCGCCGGAAGCTCCGCATACCGCTACTTTATAATTATTCTGAATAAAATTAAAAATATGTGTTATATAACAAATTAAGTAAATAGGTATAACCTTTCAAGGTGGAACACGGAGTTAAAGTAGGTATTTTCGTAAAACTCGTTCCACGAACATATTCATTCATTACATCAGAGATAGTGAATGAAAAACATCTTAATTGATAATTTTCGATGAAAAATTAAATATCGGAGACAATTGACTGAAACGAGTTTCAAAGTTAAAGTTACCTGTTTGGAGGTAGAAAAGTTCCTTGTAGAAATTAAAGCTGGTCTCACAAATCGGGAAAACATCTTTATCGAGTAAAATTAAATGTTTCGTACGTATACTGCAGAATCGCCGATTATGACCTTCCGGAACACAAATGTCAGAAAAAGTGACGTTCTATAAATTTTTTTAACCCACGCAAATAATCCTGTGATTGTTGCCGTGACGCCATCTATGTGTGAACTTTATAAGCTTTGCTAGAAAATTCCATTCGCCCCCCGTGTGTTGTTCTTTGTACAAGACTAAAAATTGCCTGGTGGGCACAGCAGCATTGGCTAAGAAGAAGACAAAAATCTTCTTTTCAGAAATGGAGCTATTTAACCAAAGTAAACAACGTTCTGTGGATATCAATCATTTAGATCAACTTACAATTTATTTAACTATGGTGTACTGTGTTTATCTAATTTAGAAACATGGACGGCAGATATGTGTTGAAGCCATGGATAGGAAATATTTTTTTCGAATAAATCACTGAAAAAATGAGCTCAGATACATCGGATGAGGAAAACTTAGAACTTCTCAGAGAAGCGACCGATCCCCAGTTCATCAATGATTGTATGTTTAAAGATAAAAGCAGTAAGTCAATAATATAGCAGGAGTCTTAAGAATACTTCAGCTCCTTCTATTCGTAGGTGACTCCTCTGTGATAACAGTTAACATTCGAGAACAGTTGCCTTCATTACGGAAAAACAAGGACGAGGATGAACAATACAATTTTTTTCGAGTGACCCCTGAGTTTAGAGGTTTTGTAGCAAAAAGACTCGCTCGCAGTTTAGATGACTACTTGGAGAGTTTGTTGGTTGATACTTCAGAGGTAGTATTTCCTAGGAAGCAAAGTAAAAATTCTGGTATTAGGTTATTTACTAGTTCTGAATCATTTTTGAAAATTAAAAAACTCTCTAAAAATGTTAGTGTATGTGACCGTAAAGTGATAAAGCGACAGGTTAGTCTTAAACCTTACAATTCAGAAAAGGTATCAAACGACGTACTTAGACAACTCGCAGTCAATCCTGACGATATTTTAAGTCAGAAAGAGGTCAAACACTGGTCAACTAGAAGTAAAGGCCAGGTATTTAGGTATAAACAAACAAAAGGGGGTCAATTAGTGCAAATTGAGCGTGAATTTAAGTCATACCATTCCAATTGAGTGTGTACTAAGATGTCCCATATGCCTCCATTCAGGTTAAATGTTCCCAATTTAGGCCCCGATTTGACAGGGCCACCAACGAATCCAAAAAAGAGGCGCAAAAACTCTCAAGCCCCGCCCATACAGACCCCACCTAATGTTCAAGACTTACTTCCACCCCCCCTCACTGGTTATGGTGACACCATAGTGGCATCCAATCCATTTGATGATTGCCCCAGTAATGTAAATACCATGACAATGACCCGAGGCCCCCAGATCCCAATGGGCCCTAATATGGGCATGCCACCCAACATGGGTTGTAATATGGGCATGGGCAGACCCCCCATGGGACCAGGCATGGGTCCAATGGGATCTCCGATGATGCACAGTCCGAATGCAATGAACAATCCCATGATGGCTAATGGCCCGAGAATGGCACACATGGGACCTGGACCCCACGGAGGACCTCACATGATGAACAGTCCCAATGGGCCAGGTCCCGGCGGACCCATGCATCCTGGGATGACTGGCCCACCAATGCATAGTCCCCTCGGTGGTATGGGGCCTATGCAAGGACCAATGGGACCGGGAGGTTGTGGTCCCATGGGGGGGCCCATGGGAGTAGGAGGTCCCATGAATGGTGGCGGTCCTAATAATCAAATGAATGGGCCCATGGGCGGTTCTCCAATGAGTCATGGACCTGGCGGACCTCATGGAGGACCCAATGGCGGCATGGGACCAATGGGAGCTCCAAACGGACCTATCGGTAAGTTGGATTTTTTACAACATGCGTTTTAAATAAAAATCTGCTTGGGAATGCAATTTCATATTAATTACTTAAATTTGGATGCCCTATTTTTTTTTTAAATTAATTGAAAAATCAAAAATAAAATATGTCAATGGGTTTCTTGAACTTTTAAGAGAAATTAACTCAAATTATATTCCAAGCGGCATGCGACTACTAATGTGTTTTCAATGTATAGAATTAATTATTGTTTTCCTACTTTTTGATAACTTCAAGTGCACAATTAAACGGGCCCGTCTGACTGTAATTAGTTGGCTTATTCGACATAGTCGCGTTGTTTTCAAAGATTCCTATCTCACTAAATATTTGAATTATGATAAAATAGTATACAATAATTGTATTTTTTCAATGGAAAATTTACTTAAATTAAATAGTTTTTAAAACCCGGTTCCCTTCACTTTGTTGTTTCACATTGTTCAGTAACGCGGTGACTTCCAAACTGATTACTCACCTTCCTTCGCCTATATCTAACATTGCAAATATCGTGTTTCAAGGTCCGGGAATGAACAATAACAGCTTCATGATGTCTCCCATGAACAACATGTACTCGAAACCAATGCCGGTCAGCGCCGGTAAAGTCTACCCCGCCAATCAACCCATGGTTTTCAACTCACAAAATCCGAACGCGCCACCCATTTACCCATGCGGTGTGTGCCACAAGGAGGTAAGCAAGAACCAATTTGTCTGAAGGGTATATAGTGTTGCCTGGTAACTCGTCACCAATCCATAAACATCGCGGGAAAACGTCCCAAATTGCACAATTTAATTCCACTTTACCATATGCAACATTGTTATTAAAAGCATTAGCTAATCATTTTAACAACTTTATTACAAAGGAGAGAAAAACGATAAGTTAGGTTGAACCACCACCATAGCTCCTAACGATATAGCCGCAAGCGCCGTAAGAATGTCCTTCCGCACATCTGTTTAAACTTCACACACTGCGTGCACTTCTCGAGTTTTTTTTTAAACAATGATTTCTACACATAACCCGTTCTTCTCTAAAATTTAATTATATCTTGATACATTTTGACGGAAAAATCGCCAAAAAAATACCACAGCCAATGTGACAATTGTAAACAGCTGTCGTGTTGAATGCCAAGTCCCCGCGTATGCCGATAAAACAGGAAATTATAAAGCAAACATTGAAAGGGTCCATTTAACATGCGCATGCGCGAGATTTAAAATTTTATTTTTTCTACCAATGACCTTGAGGCGTTCAACAACGAACATGGCCGGTGACACATCGTCAATAAGTTTGGATGCGGCATTTTTACGACGTTTTCTCAAAATATGCCTAGATCTGGTTAAAATGTTTTGGAAAAACGAGTTAAATTGTTGTTTAGAAAGAAAATGGTGAAAGTGGGTGAAATATAGAAGCATGCGCGGAAAAAAATTACCTCCTCGAGTAAAATATCAATGCCGCCTGCAGCGCATCGATTTTGACCGTAGGGCCACTATATTGTCTAATAGCTATATGGTTGAAGGCTATGATGCCTGAAATCGCACACATATTGATTTTTCACCCTCATCGTTGTCGTATGTTTGTTACGAAAATCTTATCAATATAGGTTAGGCCTCTTATTCTAGTAGCTATATATATTCAGTGGTCGCCTCAGCGCTCTTGATACGTAGCGGACGCCATTTTTGGTAGCGGATTTATTTAGTACTAGGTAGCGGTAACGAAGCGATCTGTAACGGCAGAGTTTGGTTAAAGTGCTGAATTTGATCAAGATGTAGACAGTGATGGTGAGTATGAATTTGCAGCATAATAAATATATTTTATTTATTATTATTAGTATTTACAATCTTTGCCAAATTACACTCACATTAAATAGATGTGCAATTTTAATTTTTATTTGCAGAATGTTTTTTTAATAAACGGAAGAAATATTGGATAGGAAATGGCGAAACCTAAAAAACCCTACACAAGCATCAAAGACAATATACGGAAAACCGGAAGAGGAAGAATTTACTGGGAATATTATCACAATGATTGTATCATGTACAGGGTGTGCCGTTTATGGGCAAAAAATCTAAAATATCCTAAAAATTTCCGTTTTTGTGGGTAAATTATTGGCGATAAATGATTAAAGGTTGGAGAGTTTTATTTAAACCGTGTCGTGAGAGTTTCAGGTTTCGTCAATTATACGGGGCGCGAGATATTTGAAAAAATATCTTCGACAATGCTATTATTTGTGCAAATTTTGATATTTACCGATGTTTGCTGTAACTTTGAAGTGCGACGAGATGTGAAGGACATTTTATACAGGGTGCATGCACAATTAAATTACATCGATTTTGCGAAAGTTCCGTAGTGGGCCGCAGGAGCACGCGAATCGCGAAGTTCTTTTTATAATAAAAAGCACTTCACGTTCAACTACGTTCGCAATCGCTACCGTACGTATCAAGAGCGCTTTCCTACATCCACTGTATGCGACTCACTTTCTCTTGGTGTTAGGCACTGCGTCTCAGATTTTAGACAATTGCAACAAAATTCACGATTTTCTTGTCAAAACATATTGATCCGAAGGCAAGCGGTCATCTGTACACTTATTAGATGTAATCCAAACTAGACATCCGTAGCATTGTCTCTTTTAGACGAATTACCAGGCCAACCAGGATTTTATCCGGGAAAAAAGAAAGAATTTGCTAAAGTTGGGTTAAGGTTTTTTTTTTAACCTTCGCTCACATTTCTTCCTTTAGGTTCACGACAACGATCAGGCGATCTTGTGCGAGAGCGGTTGCAACTTTTGGTTTCACCGGGGCTGTACGGGCCTAACGGAGACCGCGTATCAATTGCTGACTGCGGAGGTGTACGCGGAATGGGTGTGCGACAAGTGTCTCTCGACTAAAAACATACCGTTGGTTAAGTTTAAGCCTTAGTATCCTATATTCGTTCGCAGCGTATAGGATATAAATAATTTGGTCGGTTTAGAAATGTAAAACTTCGAATTTTATTTCGAAACGACTACGAACATCGATCGCGACCGACGCGAAGCCGCTAAATTCTGATTTATACATTTCTAAAATGGCTAAATCCTAAAGTGGTTAGAGAATGGGTGGATATTTCAATCCGGCTAAATGTGTCGGTAAATTAAGAATAAACCAGTACAGGTAGACTTGATATATTTTTCTCACGTTTGCAACTTTTATCGCGTGCCAAATTGTTCTATTTCTAATTTATTCTTGGTCGGCAAGTCACCAGAGAAAGAAATGTTTGTACTGTTTCACAGTTTAGTGGCATTATAAATGACAATTGCACCACAGTACATATATTCTTTGCATTTTATAAAACTAGATATTTTAGATGTTAAGTGTACATATATTTAATGTGTCATCTGTTGTCAGGATTTGTACATATTAAGTAAATATATCCAACTACTAGTAGGTAATTTTGGACGTTCGTATTTGTGCTAATATTAATTGATCGTATGTAAGTCAGAAAATAAACTATTCGATTTAATTTGCGTTGCAAGTAGTTGTCCACGACCCCTAACGTTGACCTCGCATTGAAGAGATACCTGAAGATGGCAAACGAGGTATGGTCGAAACGCGATCGAACAAGATTTCAGGTCATTATTTAATGATCTTCATATTCCAAATACAAATTATCGCTAGAATTTTTTTTTACAAATTCTCATAGAACTTTGAAAAACCCCGAATATAAAATACTTTAAAATTTTTGATTCTAGGAATAACCAAGAGCAAGATAAAAAAGATCTAAGCAAAATCATGAAGAATGAAACATAATAATGCCTGTAAGCAGGTTGTTTTTGCACATTAGAAAAAATCTCAGGATCTATAGGTTGGAGGTTAAAGCAGTAAATCAAATTTAAAAAAATTGTGTGCTAATGAAAACTCACTCGCAACTTATAATGCAAATAAAAACCATCTAATTTAGTCTCAAAACATCTATTAGCCTATAGTTATTTACAGTTGCATCTCGTTCAGTTTTTGAACTGTTTCTCTGTTAGTTTCTTGGGTTTTCTTTGGATCTCCAACAGCGCTCGGTAATTTACTTGTGGCTTTCCTTCCTGCTACTTGACGCGCTTCTGTAGCTGACCTTAAAGTACCGCTTAACTCTCTTAAAACTTTATCTACATTCTCCACGTTCTCCTTTGTTTTAACTTTTATCTTGAAGAAAAATTATTAAATTACGTCTTAATAATATTTAAATTTAAAGAAACCTACATTTTTAAGATCGGTTTTAACTTTTTTAGCTTTCGCCTTCAGTTTCAAGCCCTTTGCTCCGGCAACTTTGAACGCGCTGTTGATTTTCTTCTTGTTTTTGCCCATTTTGGTCTAAAACACATAGGTCCAAGTGAATTTTTTTGGAATCAGAGTTGCGTTGGTCCATTTCTTTTTGCCTTTTTCTGACGCAGTTTCCAACCAAGATATCCCGCGTCAATTGTAGCGTCAGTCGCACCATTTCTTTCATGGAACTTACGGACCTCACTTTAAAAATATCCAAGATTATTTGCGACACCTCATGTCCACTTAAATTTCTCTCTACCAAGTCTCGGGCTATTTTTAGAGGATTTTCACCCTTGGCAAAGCAGTAAACAAAAACTTTAATCGCCTTGAAATTGGGTGGCAGCTCCTTTTGATCAAATAACCCCACAAAAACATCTAAAAATTCCACTGCTAATGCGGGCAAATTCATTATAACAAAATTGTTATGTTCTACGTATTTTGACAAATTTTCCTTGAAAACTGACCTGATAAAATCCCTACCATCCATATTGAAAGCTTTTAAATTGCTATCGTCAATTTTATTTTTGATCTTATTGTGTATAAGCCACTGGAAGGAGTGGGGATTCAAATCATTTGCATAAACGGTACACTTATTTTTAGCGGCAGGTATTGCAAAAGGCCCTACCCCGGCAAATAAATCGAAAACAATATCACCTGGACTTAGCATTTTAACTATTCTTTCATGTTCAGTAGATAGCCGAGAGTTCCAATATACTTTCGAGAAATCAAACTCAAAGTTGCAGCCATTTTCTTTAACAACCGTCAACATATTTGGTTCACCTATCAGAACTTCCATTTGAAAATTTCGGTATGTGCTATCTATTTCATTTACTTTGTTAACAACAGATTTACAGCCTGAGATTTTATCAATTAAAACTTGGCCTAAAATAAAAAAAAATTAGAAAATAAAATTAGAATAGATTATTAGCAGACCTATGATTTTCTTGTAGGGCAATAGATGCTCTCTTAAATTTACGTGGACGATATGACCCACTTTAGTGAAACTAGAAGTCTGTTCTTTATCTTGTGGTAAGACAGCTCGAAACACTGTTTCAGCACTATAGTTTTCATACGTTAACGTGATTTCGCGACGCTCTAAGTGATTTTCACTTAAGTTATGTCCCTCCAAATTCTGCCTGATTTCTTCAGGAATATCAGACCACTGGTTAACCAACTCTGGATTCAGAAATACCAAAGAATCTTTAACCGGTTTGAATTTTTCGAGCTTTAAGAGGTGCTTTTTTACGTGCGGCAATACGGAGGACACTTTCAAATTCCTAACATTAAGCACGGGCACTTCAATCCTCTTTTCAAACTTCTGCTTATCCAATTCCTTAAGGCCCGCCACTTCGACAGGTGGTTTTAAAATAGAAGGCATGCCTTTAATTATAGCGCGAGATAAATGGTTGGAAACTGCAATCCGAGAGCAAATAGATCTAATTGATATCATACACATTCGTCAAATTTAAAGATTTAAAGAAAAACTCACTTCGTCGTCCAAATGAGGTTATAAAAGGACTCTTCTTCATTGTATTTCTTGGGACCGGTTACAACTTTGCGTTCTTAGCTTTTTTCCATGATCAATGGCGGGTATTAAAAATTAGTCGACCACCGAAATAGATTTAATCTGCACAAATTTATCCAAATCTGTATTAACATTTATAATCCCAAACACTATGGGTACTAAATATATAAAGGCTCTGTCTATGCTGATATGACAGAATTTTTTTAAGCAACGACAACTGTCGTTCAACGTCCAACACGGCCGCTGACAGTACGTCGATTCGACCGATTTCAATTTAGCTGTAGTTTGTTAAAATATAGCATCGTCTGAAGTGTAGTGTGTGGAGATCGCTGCTCAAAAAGCAATTGGCGCAAATTGCAAGTTAGGGTAAAATTTGAAGGCATGCCTGAAGCGAATCAATTTTAATTAATTTTAATAATCGCACAATACCTAATTGGTGGTTTTTTTATTATTTAAAAAAGTGACCATTTTTACTAAATAAAGGGTTTACAAATTGCTATGGTATGGTCCAATGCGCAAAATACATCATCAACATGTCCGCTTAGGGATACTTTCAGTGGGAAATACTGATCTTTTTCGTGTCCTAATCCCAAGCAGCAGCTCCTGTTCCTACCCCATGAGTACAGATCGCCGGAATTTGTTACAGCCATTGCATAATTCAGTCCGCAAACCACTTTGGTAACCAAGCTCTTTGGTTGAAAGTCATTTCTCCCAAATAATACTTCAGGTATTTTTAAGGGTTCCCTCGATTGTTGAACAATTGGGCCGACACCCAAAAGACCATAGCCCCATGTAAAAACTTCGCCACATTCTGAAAAGGAGCGAGTCATTTATTTTTTTCATATTATTTTTTCACATTTATTATATACCGTTGACGGCAAGGCAAAATGATCCTCCAGAGGCAACACTTACAATTTTGCCAGCTTTCACTAGTTTATTGACAAAGGTGGGATTGCATAATTGTTGTTGTTCATTGGGAAGCGTTAACTGACCATATTCTATGTTTCCCCAACCAAAAGCTTCACCTCTATCTAAAAACAATATAGATTTTGATATAATCTATAGCACACAACCCGTAATAAAATTTTTAAATTTCACTACTCACCATTTAAGGCCAAAACGAAATCAGATTTACAAGAGATTTTAACAATTTTCTCCTTACTAATGTCTCCATCAACTTTTGTAAATTCAGAAGTGTTCTGAAAATGTCCTAAGCCAGTTTGTCCATCTGCACCCCATCCACAGGAGTACACTGACCCATCTTCGGTAATTGCCAGGCTGTGATCTTGTCCACATTCAATATCAACAATACATTTCCCATCAATATTTTCGATTTTAGTGATGTAATGATTCTTAGAATAGTCCTCATCATCTACTACTTGTCTACCACACTGTCCATAGGCATTGTTACCCAATGTAAACAATCCTTCATCGGTTAATACTAACAGATGCGCTCTACCAGCAGCTAATTTTATAACTTTACTCTGTTCAGGATTACTAAATGGTAAGTAAATAGGCTGGGTGTAAAAAAGTATACCCAGAGGTTTATCTTTCTGTACCTCATGGTATCCGAGCTGACCATCTGTATTAAGACCTGATCCATGCAGTTTCACATCCGTTTCACTGTTAACGGCGTACGCTGTAAAACCAAATCCGGTAGCCGCAGTAGTTACTTCAAACAGCTCCGCGAATGTGAATCGTTTTGGATACCACGCAGCAATAACATCTTTATCAATTAAACCTTTGATTCCTAGGGCTCCCGTTTGTGCATTTCCCCATGCAAATACGCGTCTGTAGGCCTCCTTACTCACGCCATACTGGAAAACTAATCAAATGACTGCAAGTCATACTTTAGGATATCAATAAGATCAAAATACCTACCGGGCAGCTGATTCACGTAATCCGGATCGGTAGGGTATTTTATTTTCTTGGTGCTTAGATATTTCGCACCATTTTTAATTATATTTTGTTGTATTTTTTGAATCGGGTTCATTTTTTTGTGTCTAGGTCCGTCTTCTTCTTCTTTTACTTTTATTGGTCAAGACTGCTAGGATAATTCGGCCATATTCTGGGTTAATGGCAAATTTTCTTTTAACCTGGTAAGGTGCCGTAATAAAAAGGACTGGACGAATCCATCACCCTCCAAGGGGAACGGACATGCAATGAATGCGATCCCACCTGGTCTGGTTACCAGGGTGAATATAAGACATCCGGAAACCGTGTCCGTGTCCATATACATTCGCATCCCTCTACCACTTCAGATAACGAATATACAAAACAGTATTTTACATCGAACGACACTCATTTCGATCGATTTCTACATTTTATGGAACGAGGCAGGAGCACGTCCGCCATGTGCAATGGTTCCCTCGCGAATTTGCGTCTAGGGTACAATTCATGAAAAATATTTTCTCTCATTTCATAATATATAAAAAATATATATGTTTGACAATATATGTTAGGCAAAGCTGCTAGGATAATTCGCCCATTTTCGACTCCAACAAGGATTTTTTCGTCACAGCCCACTTTGCCTGGTTCAAAGTTATTTTGTTGATCAATTGGGCCAACGCCCAAAAGACCCAAATAATTATTGGCACACATTCTGACTTTTCCATTTGGTCATTGCCCAACCATTGTATTATTACTTGCTTACAAGACATGGACTTTAGATGATATTATGGGCTGATATTTCGCAAAAACTAATGGATACTAACTAATCAAAACTTCGATAAAAAAATGTGAAATTATAACTAATAAATAAATCGTTTTTCAGTGAGGAACATGCGTCTTAATATTTTGGTGTATTGGCCCGCGATGGCATTGCAGTTTGAAAAGGCACATACACACACGCGAATAATTTCTTACCTGTCATCTGTGTCATAATGGGCGTCATTTAGAGGCAGCCAAAGATCATTGCCGGATTACAGTGGATCTTTGTTCGCCGTTTAAAATTTTTGCACGTAACGTTTCGGGCAGTATAAAATCATAACGCATAATAAATGTAAATAAAAGCAAGAAAACAGTTAGGCTCTTTGTTATTCGAGGCTCGCCTCTTCGGGTATTTATTCTGGGGTGGGAGCATAAATTCAAGATCGCGTCATACAATTTTCACTAGAAGTCAAGTTATATGCGGAACCTTATGAATATTTTCATACATTTGCTTTCGGATGGCAAGAAAATCTATCAACAAAATGGGTTTGCAAGTACGCATAACACAAGCCATTAAACGGGTGACATTTACCAGTTACCAATTTTAGTATTGTACTAGATCCAATATATATACATATTCTCTAAGATTTTAATGATGGCATATATTTATTACAACCCATTTTAGTGACATGGAAGCAGCAGTTTTAGGTTTTATACTCTTTATTGAGAAATATTGAATTCAGTTTATTAGAGTCATGGAGAAATTTAAAAAAAACCCTTTTGGCATTTTGTTACACACAATAACCTCACTTTCAATTCACTTTTGTTTTAAAGTTTTGCTTAATTTTGCTGAATTTGACACAAACTAAACACGTACACACATAAAAATACACAATGTAAAACAAAATAACAATTAATAAAATGGGTATCTTGTTTTTAAAACTGGTTAGTTTTTCGGTTTTCTGTGTCCATCACATTCTGGTCAATGAATACCCAATATGTACCCAACGTTCTGTCTTGTTTCAACTATCTCAGCTGGTACTTGATTTCTTAAAAAATTGGGACGTGTGAGTTGCGTTACAGGCACCGTATGTGTAAGGGTAAGCAGGAAACGGGCCGATGCCACAGAATACATAAACAAGTTTCAAAAGCAATTTCAATTTTCTTGAAAGTTTAACCATTAATTATAGAACTGGCAAATACGTTGAAAAGGCCTTTTTAATGGAACTCTGAGAATTATTCACATGGATGTTTGCCTATTCTGTGCCGTCTCTGACCAGTTAAGGATATTACTCGGTATAGAAAATTCGCAACCCTGTTTATTTTTTCACTCGGTCCAATTAATGGTGTAAAACATTCAAATCCGCAAAGAAGCGGAGCCGCCGGGACTTTATATTTCACTTAAAAATTTATCATCGGGCCCGTTTCACAAAATCCCGCAGCTCATTAGCATAAATAGAAATACTGATGAGGCCGCGTTTCTTTTGTTTCGCTTTTGAAATTTTTTAATTAAGGCTCTCCTTAAAACACCCGCGAAGAATAAAAACGGCAGTAACGAAGCAAACGTTTGATAATCGCATTAAAGATCTGAATATGAATGAGCGTCCGGGTGAGAATAAAATTATTTATAATTTTAATTTTATTTAAATCTCGCCTTAATTATGTCGTTAGAAATTGTTGTGAATAATAATTGGGATGTATTGCGGGTATTATATTAAAGAGGAAGAATTTTGTGCCATCAAAATTTCCGTTGATGTTATTTTTAATTACTCCCATCTGTAATCCTATCTTTTATTAAAAACATTATGGTATATTTATAGATTATAATAAAAAATATTGAAATATTTTTTTTTCATCGGGGCCAAGATGGATATGTCAATCCCGCCCCTGCCCTACCTGTTATAAAAATATAATAATGTAGTAATAAATTTGTTTTTGGGATGCTTGCTGACTCAGACGTTGAAATTTTCAACTAAGTAGGTGGAAAATATAAAAAAGGAAGGAAAAAACTATGAAAACTGTTTCCTAGTTTCGACGTTTTTACTAAAAATACACTGATAGAAATGACTTGAATTTTACAAAAAGAAAATATAATTTTTACCGAAAAATACTTTAAGCCAAAATTAAAAAAGCCAAAAAAATTAGAATTAAACGCTTACTAAAAGTAAAATAATTTTTCCGGTTATGAAGCTATAACAAAATTACTATGATAAAATAAGTGGCGCGCAGTGCTAATGGGATTTCTTTTCGGCAGTATTTTTTTTTTTAAATACGTTGATCGCAGATAAGTAGGAAAAAAGAGGCCGACTTTAGTAAAATTTTAGAAGTGCCACTCTTAAAAATAATTACAAAATTATGTTCGAGCGTGAATTAATTCAGATTTCAATATTATGGACTAAATTTAGATGATTCACGTACTTGTTAAACACTGTATACCTAGAAAGCACTTCTTTTTCTATTTTGAGTATTATTATGTCATAAATTTGAATAACTGCAACCAATTACAAAAAAATTGGTGTAAATATCTACAAAGTGCATTAAATAATCACGAAAGAAAACGTAAATATCAATTAACCTTGCAGTCGCCAAGGTTAAAAATTTTCAACCAGCCAGAACTAAGCAGCCGCCAAAAATAGCAGGTTATTTGATAAGCTGCGATACAGTATTTTTTAAAAGCATGAACACCTCCAGAAGAAAATGTCAAAAATTTCTCCTTCCTTTGTGGACCATCAGTAGCAATTACTGGCAGTGGCGGATCGTTTTTTTCTATTCTCGTATCATGGCAAGTAAAAACAGACAAGCATTTCTTTGAAGTCTGGAACAGTAACTCATATTGAACTGAGGTGGTTTTTACTTGATGAAAATCCATTTGTCAAAATTAATATGAACTAAAAGTTCGCCCCGTGTGAAACACCATTGTCTTCCGAGAGAACCGCATTTTTTTTCTGCGGAATAGCGTTCGGTGTATGGCGAACTTAACGACACACGAAAAGGCTAACGCGTCAGTTGTCGATCACCCATTCTTACATTAGGAAAGTAATTTCTATGCACCCCGTTTATTTCGATTTAATCTGTACTAATCTCTATTTGAAAAGGGGACCGTTCTCCGCGATAAGACAAAACTACCAGGGGGGCGCTCTAAACCTGATGACGCTTTTCGCAAGTATGTGAATGTTTCTATGCTGCACGAGAGCTCTTTTCATGATTAACTCTACTAGAAAATTAGAGAGTTAATGTCGAAATTTGTCTCGCAAGCCTACTTCAAATTTTCAATTTCAGCTATTATTTTAGATAGAAAAAAATATATGCCTAATACCCTCTCCGCCACTGGATCATCTGAAGTTTATCGCAAGGTTTCAATTTGTCCGTCATTTTTCAGGCTGAAACATTAAAACTAATTCATCACCTTTAACACCCATTAGTATCTTTTTAACTAGACAAAAACTTCATAAAAAAAATCGTAGTTTCATATTTGGTCACCATTTGTGAATCGCCTTCTTTCTATACGCCATGCAATATTGTGGCCAAAATAAAACACTTTCAAAGAAGTTTTACTTTTGGGATGTATGCTTAGAAAATTATGAAATTCAATGTCAACAGTTCTAAAAAGTGCTATAGCTTCAAAGTTGTTAATGATTGGAAACATATAACACGTGGAATCTCAAAATATTAATGTATAATCCAATTTTTTCTATACTTAAAACTATTTTTGTTCGGCGTGTTACATTTTTTTGACTTATCATTGGAAGAAAGGTTAAGTACTATACACGCTACTAGATGGTGCTAGATAAACGTTTCTATTTTAAGAAAAGAGAAAAAAAATTTAATTAATTAAGAGTCAAATGCCGTTTGCCGCACTTGTTGCGTAATGTACTATTTTCTTTTAATGTTTTCAAGATAACTAAATAAATCCATTAACTGTTTTTTTTTTTTAATTCTAACTAATACTCACAAATGTATAAATTAACAATTTTCGTAATTACGTAGAAAAGTTTTATTTACACATTTTACTTATATAACTTCATGAGTTAATAATTTGTGGAGTTATATACTTAAACGCAATCAGTCCATGTCATGTGCAATAGGTTATAGAAGAAACCTTTTGCTGGTTATGTATACAGAGTGATTTACAAAGTTATTTGGACACTGCCCCTAGAGGGCGTTAGTTTCACTGTATTATCGATTTATATTTTTTTATTTGTCGAATTAACCAAAATTAACCAACATTACATTCCTCAGAAATGGAATTTTTGTTTCAACCATTCAAGTTCGGCACTTTTTTGAAATATTAAAAAGATGAAAAGATGCGGAGAGTAATAAGAAATAGTAATAAAAATACTTCAAACCATTCAAATTGTAATGACACAGATAATA